TGAGGGGGGGGGAGGGCTTGAGGGGGGGGGGGGGGGCTTGAATTATAACCCCCCAGAGGGTCATGATTTAAACAAACTAGAATCTACACTACCTGAGGATGATTCCATATGAATATCACTAATCATGGCTTTGAAGTACTTGAAAAAGAAGATTTTAAAAGGTTTCTCTCTATATCCTTATGTAAAACTTTGGTCGGCCATTTGGCCCCACCCTATCCCCGGGGGTGATTTGAACAAACTTGAATCTACACTACCTGAGGATGATTTCACATGGGTTTCATCTTTCCTGGCCCAGTGGTTCTTAAGAAGAAGATTTTTAAAGATTTTTCCTATATATTCCTATGTAAAACTTTGATCGGCCATTTTGGCCCCACCCTAGCCCCGGGGGGTCATGATTTGAACAAATTTGAATCTACACTACCTGAGGATGATTCCACATGAGTTTCATCTTTCCTGGCCTAGTGGTTCTTAGGAAGAAAATTTTTTAACAATGCCATTAATTTTTCTCTAATTCATAATTATCTCCCCTTGGAAAAGGGCGTGGCCCTTCATTTGAACAAATTGGAATCCCTAAATAAATCTTTGAAGGTTATTTAATAGTTACAGCTAGGTAAAATTGTGAAATATGTGAAACATGATCAAAGCCAATTATCTTTTCTCATTCAAAAATTAGTGGCAATGTCATTTTTTTTTTAATTGACTTAGGTCAAATTTCAATTTCATGCAAGTTAATGGTGTCAAAATTTCTAGTACTTTAGGAAATATTTTGTCACAGAGTTAATACATATATCATGTATATTACATATATTATATATGAACATGATGAAAGCTATTTCTTCTCTAATTCAAAATTTAAGACTTATGATGAAGGTTAAATTTTGTGACAGCACAAAATTTACAGACAGATGGGCAATTCAGATTTTAAAAAATGCTAATTCATACATAACAAGAGGCCCAGGGGCCACAGCGCTCACCTGAGCACATCAGCTAGGAAAAAACACATCAGAAGAACTGAAAGTTAATTTAATGGGGATCATAATTTGAACGAACTAGAATCTACATTACCTGAGGATGATTCCATACAAATATTACTAATCCTGGCTTTGAAGTACTTGAAAAGAAGATTTTTAAAGATTTTTCCTATATATTCCTATGTAAAACTTTGATTGGCCATTTTGGCCCCGCCCTACCCCCGGGGGTCATGACTTGAACAAACTTGAATCTACTCTACCTGAGGATAATTTCACATGAGTTTCATCTTTCCTGTTTCAATGGTTCTTGAGAAAAAGATTTTTTAAGATTTTTCCTATATATTCCTATGTAAAACTTTGATCGGCCATTTTGGCCCCGCCCTACCCCCGGGGTCATGACTTGAACAAACTTGAATCTACACTACCTGAGGATGATTCCACATGAAATTCATCTTTCCTGGCCCAGTGGTTCTTGAGAAGAAGATTTTTAATGATTTTTCCTATATATTCCTATGTAAAACTTTGATTGGCCATTTTTGCCCCGCCCTACCCCCGGGGGTCATGACTTTAACAAACTTGAATCTACACTACCTGAGGATGATTCCACATGAGTTTCATCTTTCCTGGCCCAGTGGTTCTTGAGAAGAAGATTTTTTAAGATTTTTCCTATATATTTTCTATGTAAAACTTTGATCGGCCATTTTGGCCCCGCCCTACCCCCGGGGGTCATGACTTGAACAAACTTGAATCTACACTACCTGAGGATGATTCCACATGAGTTTCATCTTTCCTGGCCCAGTGGTTCTTGAGAAGAAGATTTTTAATGATTTTTCCTATATATTCCTATGTAAAACTTTGATCGGCCATTTTGGCCCCGCCCTACCCCCGGGGGTCATGACTTGAACAAACTTGAATCTACACTACCTCAGGATGATACCATATAAGTTTCATTTTTCCTGGCCCAGTGGTTCTTGATTTATAAAGATTTTTCCTATATATTCCTATGTAAAACTTTGATCGGCCATTTTGGCCCCGCCCTACCCCCGGGGGTCATGACTTGAACAAACTTGAATCTACACTACCTGAAGATGATTCCACATGAGTTTCATCTTTCCTGGCCCAGTGGTTCTTGAGAAGAAGATTTTTAAAGATTTGTTCTATATATTCCTATGTAAAACTTTGATCGGCCATTTTGGCCCCGCCCTATCCCCGGGGGTCATGACTTGAACAAACTTGAATCTACACTACCTCAGGATGATTCCACATGAGTTTCATCTTTCCTGTTTCAATGGTTCTTGAGGAGAAGATTTTTTAAAAATGCCAATAATTTTTCTCTAAATCATGATTATCTCCCCTTGGAAAAGGGCGTGGCCCTTCATTTGAACAAACTTGAATCCCCTTCACCCAAGGATACTTTGTGCCAAGTTTAATTGAAATTGGCCCAGTGGTTCTTGAGAAGAAGATGAAAATGTGAAAAGTTTACGACAACGACAACGCCGACAACGACGACGCCGACGACAACGCCGACAACGACAACGACAGACAACGGACAAATTGTGATCAGAAAAGCTCACTTGAGCCTTTGGCTCAGGTGAGCTAAAAATGGGATTAATATAAATATTGGTTAAATAAAATATATGGTTAGGCAAATGATGATCATTTAAATAATCGATAAGAATTTATTAATAAACATTAACACAAACCAAGTTAGAACCTAATCATATTAATCATGTTAATATCTACAATTTGCGAGTACTAAAAATTTATTATCTACGAGAAATCTTTTGTACATGCAGCTTTTGTATGTTTTAATTTGTATTTAAATTCTTAATGTAGGTCAACTGAAATATTTGGCGTCAGAATTTATCAAACCAGACATAAATCACAAAAACTTGAAACCTTTTTACGAATCACTAATGTTACAAGTGGAAAGAGCTGTGAGCATTTTAGAGGGATAAAGATTAAGTCAATCATGGTGCAATGCATGGTGTTTATTCTGTAGCTTCTGCAAGTCTTTTCTTATTCCACGTACATAATCAACTAAGAATAATATATTTTATGAACAATGTGTATTCTGAGATAAGTCCATTAAGACAATACAAATGATTACACATGCAAACCATTCACATGGACCTCTAACAACAGAAGGGTGTTCAGGAGCCATGGAGGAGTGAGCATGCCCTGTCAATCACACCATGTGCTCCTTGTCAAGATTACATCAGATATCAGTAGTCCATTCAGTGTAAAGTATCGACTTTTTGTATGAAATACATCAGTCAACATTGATCAACTTAAAAACAGATTGTATCTGCAAACAATGTTATGGTATCAACAAGTTTGGCTTTCCAGAAAGCCTGAAATGTCATCTCTTTGGTATCAATAATGTCAAAGAAATAAAACAGAAAGGGAGATATTTTAATGCAATGAATATATGGATTATTACACCTGAAGTTCCCAAATGACTTATTCAGCAACTCCACAGTAAAGTACGCAGTTTCTTTTGACCGCAGTATATATATGGAAAGCATGGACGTCTGCGAGAGCACCCAAGGCGATTTTTGGTGAAATTTCATTCTAGCAGTCTTTGTGGTTCTGGGTGTTTACAATTTACTTAAATTCAAATACTTTCCTTCAACTATATTTTCTTAACACAATACGGAATTATCAACAATAATTATCATTCATTTAAAAGCAACTAATCATTAAAGTTTGACAGGAATTAATTTAATAAATCCAATTACAGACTAAAAAATTAACATAAAATTAGCGTTGACCACTCTTCATTCATTTTTTGCAGAATCTAATTGTAAGCTTGTTCTTTTGTGCGAGAACCAGTTTTCCCTTCCCGTCAACAAATCTATATATAGAAATCACGTCATTGTCAATTCTCCTTGTGTGGCTTACCCATTTAATAAGGCATAGTATTGAGGGTCAATATATATACGACACACCGAAACTATAGATATTTATAAGATATTTATAAGCATCGTACTTCTTTTATAAAATTAATTTTCCTTGGCTTTCAAATAGGCCTAAACCGAAAGTAGATCACACACTCCTAAGCTAGTTCTTCTAAAAGAAAACCAGTTTACAGGCTACTTGGAACTCTGTAAAACATCGAGGACTCCCGAAAGATTAATGGCGGCTTACATAAGGACTTCACTTCCGGCATACAATCTTAATGTGTCATCTCCCGAGGGAGATGACAATAAAGGAATTAATGATTTGATTACTTTCACATTTAAATGAAATTGTTGATACCCTTTATTATCAACATATTTGTCAATTGTCTACCTCAGTTTAGAAATTGTTCTTAGGTTGAACATCCTCTTGCATAATGAATAAACTGAGAAACATTAACTTGATTTAAGGAATGCGAAGCGGTTTATAAAATAGCGTAAACTGTTCCAACCCAGTTTATACCGTATAAAATGGGTAGCTATTAGATTCATTGCTTATAATTTAATTTTCATTCATTTGATGTAAGAAATAAAGATGACTGTTCTAAGAAAATGACTTCAATTTGTACAAAATTTGAATGTAACGTCAGGCGGATTGATACATTTTTGACGCAAGTCATTGTGACGTAGGTAACCCATTTTATACGATATAAAATAATTTTTTATCCAATCAAATAAATCGTTACAACCAGAATTAAATTATATGTAGGTAAAACAAAATGTCCCTTATGTAAAACTTGACTAAAATGATTAAAATATTCTTTTACATGTCAAATTAAGCTTTGCTTTATCAAATTGCTAAAATCTGTTTTTCTTTTGAAAAAGAGTTTATATTCAATATTGACCCCAGAACTGATTAATACAATGACCTTGACATTTACACTGGCCAGCTATGGTGCTCATATCTGTCTGCTTAAAAAAATGTTACCATGGTTACTAAACACTGAAACTTAAAGATTATAACAAAAAATGTATATCTATCCTGATAAATAGTCAAACAAGATATGTAATCCTGTTAAATTTTTGAAGCTTTAAATATGATCAGCATTATCTATAAGTAAATCCTTACCCAATGGGCTGAGAAATAAAGACACAGGGTTTTTCCTTTCAGGTTTTCCAGAGCATCCACTTCTTTTTGATCACTACAGAGTAACTTCCCCTGAATCACTTCCTGGAATTTCTTGGGTCTCCATGGAAACTCACATCCGTCTTTGTCGTTAATTACACAGGCGTACCCCTCACACGTAATCACTTTCCCGGTCTCTCCGTCCAGTAACACAAACTTAGGAATCCCCTGAACTCGGAATTTTTTGGTTAATTTTGCCTACAAACATGATAAAATCATACTGAATATATAAATAGACAAAACAAGAATTACTAAACACTCAAACAACAATATAACATATATTTAAATTTTATAATATGTATAATGTTACATATATATAAAATAACCTACAGTTTAAATTGTTTAAGTTTTCTGTTAACATGGTCAAAGAGAAGGAATGAAAACTATAGCTAGTATGTTCCATGGAACACGTCACAGTACTCATCATTATAGTTAACAATAAATCTAAGCAAGGGGATAGTAAAGTGACCAGAACATTAATAGCTACTGGCATTAACATGATTAGATGATTATATAAACATGTTAAAGCAAAGGAAAGGTATCTAAAAATAGACAGACTAACTGAATAGCATTTAACAAATAAATCTGACATTCAAATACAAATATAACTGGACCAGAAGTCCAGAACTCAAAGTTAGAGTGATTGATTTAATAATGAAATTGAAATTACATAACAGAAGTCATTATTTTCATTTTAAAACTTGATTAATACATGTTTAGTTCAGCTTTTCTCCAAGGAGACTTTAGCTGTTTTTACTGCAAATTTATCTACAGTGATCATTTTGGTATACTGATCCAAAATGTATTTTAATATACTATAAAATCACATATTTTCATTGGGTCAAATTTTCGAGGTTTGAGAAAAAACTCTTGGTTGGTAGGGATTTCAATTCATGGATGAAGAATTGTTGAGTAGTTATGTATGAAACAATTTACACTTCGTGGTGGGCATTAATTTGTGGATCTCTTCATACCTCAAAAACAACGAAAATGAACCCCCCACAAAAATTTGTGATTTCACAGTACTCATAGTATTTAAATTTCAGTTTGGGTGGATACTGTGTAGCATGAGCTTATAAGCATGAGATATAATTTTGCAAATATATCAAAACTCCCTCAAAAATCAAAGAGACATAATATAAATCAAATGTCTGAAATTATTTTGCAAAGTGGCCTTGGGTCAAAGGTCAAGGTCAGTGGATTGTAATACTGGCTATCTCCTTGATCATGTTGATGAGTTAATTGTCAAACAGTGCAAATATCCCTAACCCTAACCTTTTTTTATAAAAATTGTTAAAATTCTACTGAAATAATTATTTTAAAATGGCACTATGAACAATTTTGGATAATAGGTAAAAGGTCAAGTTTTAATGTCATGAGATAAGTAAATATATGGTATTTAATTTGCAAAATCGAAGGTGCCAAACAATATTCTTGAAAAATATCAACTTAAGTCCATATCCATAATATCGAAAGATTATCTTTCACAGATCTAGAGTTCAAGACATTGATAATTTAGAGAGACAATTTCTTTGTAAAGTGATCTCTAAGTTCAGCTGCACTGCAGGTGACACAAAAAGTCAGCAAAAAGGGCCTTAACTCTACAATAAACATAAACTGATTAACTGTCTAATAGAATAACCCAGCTTTTGAGTACAGTGTGCAGATTTTCTCTCCCTCTCCCACTCTTCTGAAGAAATCAATTAAAAATAAATTTAAATTCTTAAGAACATTCAATACAGAAATAATGCCTTTATGTTCTGAACTTAAATACATGAGGCAACAGTTGCCCAAAGATTTAAAGATGTTATGAAGTATTCAATTTCAAGAAGAATGTTGATCCTAGTCTTAGATTGAATTCTTCAATGGCCTTTTAAATAGACTTATCTTTTCTGAAAAAAAGCTCTGAGAAAATGAACATTGCAGTGCAAGCTTTGTAATCAGATTTTAGGATGAATTCTGTTTCGTTAGATCAAGGTATACATGCTCAAATTCTGGTGATTAATTTAAAAGATGCCTGTAAAAAATAACTCTTAATTCAGTTTTACAATATCTTAGTTTGATAATATAAATATTCGTGTATTTTTATTGCTCAGAAACGCGTCATTTGGGTATTATATACGTGACAAATACACAATTAACATATTAAATAACATGAGTAACACATGCAGATAATTAAGCAATCTGAGATCCGTCCCACCTTTTTCTTTGGATCAAATGGCACAGCTGTCCAGGGCATGGATGAAAAATATTCCTTATAACTCGCCTCATCCCTGTCCCAACTCACAAAAACAATCTCTAAATTGTCGCCAGATTTTTTCACGTTCTTGTATAAATCGATCAACAACGGCGTGAAGTTTCGACACGGCGGACACCAATGGGCCGAGAAGTAGAGTCCCACCACTCGCCCCTCCCCACAGAGCGACCCCACGGGCACCTGCTCCAGGGTGTCCCCATTCTGTCGAAGGACGTAATCTCCTAGTAACGCCTCTAGCTTTTTGGCCATGCCGACATTGAGAAGCAGACTGCTTGAAATGCCAGAATGTGCTTTGTTCTAAAATTAGATTCTCTTTCGCCGATGGAATTGACATATGGAACCGCGGGAGTTTTAAATTCCGCAGCAGATATCTGTTTGAGCTCACCTGAGCCAAAGGATCAAGTGAGCTTTTCTGATCAAAATTTGTTCGTTGTCTGTCGTCGTCGTTGTAGTTGTCGTGGATAACTTTTTACAATTTCACCTTCTTCTCCAGAACCATTGGGCCAACTGACCAAACTTGCCATAAATAAGTAGCTAGCTATGCGTGGTTAAAAAAAATCCTGAATAAACACAAAATTACTCGGAACACTGAAACAATTCTAATTAAAATGAAACTGTGAAGTCGGTGGACAAACAAGTGAACTTTACGAGAAAGTTATATTACATATGTTAGTAAATGAACACATGACGTAACCCCTTTCCTTTCCGTGATCCCCTTCTTAATATTTTACCGATATCATACATGTATGCATGTTCAGTACCATAGAAAACGCATTTTTTTTCCCTAGAAAATTTAAAATCATCCTTTTTTGTTTTGAACATATTTTATTGTATAAACAAAAGGATTGGAAACAAGTTCTTTCAACTTACGAGTTCCTCTCCTTAAATATAACTATATGTCATGCAATTAAAATACATGTAGTACATTGAGATATAAATACAAAAGAGATACAAGTGAAATATTTGTTCAGAAATATAACAATTTAAAATCTACAAGATTCGTCAATAAATTTATGCACAGCAGCAAAATGTTTGTTTCTACAGGCAAATTTACATCACCACATAATAACAAATTTGTGTCAATATTGACCAATTCGTCAAGTAAAAATAGGCGATTAAAAAGATTATTCCTAGCGTTTGGATAATTTCTGCAGGCAAAAAAGAAATGATAAACATCTTCATACTTTCCACATGAACATAAAGGGCTATTAATAATATTTCTTTTGTGTAAATCATAATTAAGTATACAGTTGTGTCTAAGTTTAGTATGGATTATATTTGTATAACGTTTGCCAAATGAAAAATAGATGGGGAATTTTTTACTTCTGTAGTTAAGTTTTTTCGAAACGCATTGAGTGAGATAGAAATAAATATACAGTTTTTTTCAATGGGAGGCACTGTAGCTCTCCGGTCTATCAAAATATTTTTTTTCGGAGAGCTACAGATCTGCAGCTAGGTTTGAGAAAAAAATATTGATTTGTGAATATTTTATTTCGAGGTTGGAAAAGTGTTGAGTAGTACATGTAGTGCGTTTCACTTTTAACTTTTCGAGGGTGCCTCTCCATGCCTCGAAAAAAGCAAAATCCCCCCCGAAAATTCGTGAATTCACAGTAATCATTCTAGGGCTATGGTCGATACAATGACATTAATGAATCTATCATTAAGTCAATGCTGACAGACGTTTTTCATACTTATTGTTATGTCATTATTTTTACACTGTCGACGGATTTTCCCATCATTTCCCGATCATTACAAAGAGCACGTGGCGGGTGTGACCGGTCGGCAGGGGATGCTCATTCCACCATGGCACCTGATCCAACCTCTGATGTTTTAAAGGTCGTGTTTGCTCTGCTCCTGATTTATTATGTTAAATTGACTTTTGAACTTAGATACCACACATTCGTTATCTCGATCTGCAAGTACACTCCTAGAAACACCTAAGAGTCTGCCACGTCTGTTTCATATTCGGATATCTTAATTATTGGCTATTAACGATATAAGGGTCGACTGGCAACTGAATCGTATGAAAATTAAGTTTTTGCTTCATCAACTTTCCTTCTTATAATATTCCGCTTTCACCTGCCTGGTGTTAACTTGTTCAATAATGAGACTCAAGGGCATTCTCTGAGTACGATTAATTATGTAAAGCCTAAGCAATCTAAAGCTACTAACAAATAAAGTGATTTTACAGTGATTTAAATATTTAAAATCTATAGTTAGCAAATATCTCTCATCATTGTGAAGTACTTTGGCTAACGTGTTTGTACTCTGTTTATGCTAAATTTCACTACGGAACGTATACCAAAATTGTATTTTGTATTGATTCTAGCTTGTTGCCACTGTTATTATGATCTTTTTCAAAGAAAGTTAATTAAAGTCAACTTATTTGTTAGTATCCTTCCTATTTAAAAAAAAATTTAAGTCATACTCAGAAGATGCTCTTGCTTATTGAAGCGGGAACAAAAACTGTAGGAAGCAATTTCAGTTTTGGGAAGCACAGCCAGATATTTTCAGTTGGGAAGGGGGGGGGGCACAACGGGAAAATCCGTCGTCAATTCAGTGTATAAATAATGGACTAACAATATAGGAAAAACATCAGTCAGCAATCGACTCAATTATAAATTGTTTTTGCTGACTAGGTCACATATATCGACCATAGAACTTACGGAATGATGACTATAGACGATGCTGCTGGTATTCTTGTTTCATCAACTTGTTTGTCAATAATTTACCTCGTTTTAGAAATTGTTCATACGTAGAGCATGCTCTTGCGTATTGAATCAACTGAGATAATTTAAATAAAACTCCGTATGCAGGTGATGAAGGTACATGCATATTGCTGCATAAATAAGGGAAGTTGACGATTGAAAAGTTAAAGTCATCGCGTTTATCATAAAGTTGGTTGTTAGATTACCATTAACGTATTTTTCAAGTAAAATATATCCAAATATGACAGATATATCACGCTCCCTCCCCCTCCGGCCCCGGTTCCTAAGGCCATGGGTCTTTTAACCAATACCCGTGACCCAGTTTTAATTCTAAAGAAGAAACTGATATCTAATCCAGTGGCAAACGTACTTGATACGTAAACCAGTTTTATATTTATAATTATGTCTCTTTATCTTCCACATACATTGTCATGTATACCAATTAATGATTAGAAATTTGCTCTGGAACAGTTGCTATAAAAATTCATTTTTGTTGCAAATTGAGACTACTAGTATTTTAAACTAAATTTATAGATCTAAATACTTTTACATGCTGATTTATTGAGAGGGACTGCTCACAAGATTCTTTTCAATACTCCGCGTTTAATACATTTTTTACAATTTATGTGTCACACGGGCCGCCGTACAAATTTTATAAACAACATCCGACAGTCACATGTCGACTATGGTAGTATGGAGGGACCCCTTGTTCTCGCCCTGTCTCTGTTGGCCGTTATTTTACTAGCTTCCTCCTCCCCGCTGTTCTTCTACCCTCACCAGGACAACAAAGGTACCACACAGCGGCACGACGTCATTACGCGACACCCCAAGTTTAGGAGTTCGAAGTACAAGACGGAATGTGGGATCTTGACGGATCTAAGCTTTATCGGCTGCGAGGTGTGTACGCTGGTAGTGGACGGATTGAAGGATTTAGTGGAGAAACAGAGTTCCCAGGAAGATATTGTCGAGTTTATGACGTTCGTCTGTAAAAAGTTCAAGATCGAAGACGACAGAGTGTGTGAAGCAATCGTTAAAGAATACAAGGTAAAAATTCTGTAAACAGAAAACATTAACCAACATAATATAAGGTAGAAAATTCTGTAAATTATATTATAAGCAAATCAAAAAGATTCTGTTAACTGTAAGCAAATCAAAATATAACATGTATAAGATAAGGTAGATTTTTCTGTAAATTATATGAATTTATAAAAAATATTTACCTAGGTGGAAAATTGTGTAAATTACGGTATATACATGTATATACACATCGAAATATAAGGTAGAACATATTGTTATATATTAAAACAAACAAATCAAATTGTAGATAGAATATTCTGTAAATTAGAAGATCTATGTACACTTGTACTTATCAACTATCACATATATGATTTATAAGGATTGCAATTTATTTTATATGCAAAAGCCTCTATGTACGAACAGTTTTTAAAACGACACAAGCTAATGACAAGCAAGTTGGTGAAACGAAAAATATCAATCGTCTCGTTTAAATTCAATATTCTGAAAAATTGTGAAGAAGTAAAAATATATCAAGTAAAATAATCTGTAAAATTATGAAAGATTAAGAGATAAGGTTGAATATTCTATATTCTAAAGTCCCCCAGGTATCAATGTGTATGTGTTTAAATATCTTAATACTAATTATTAATTTAAAGATCAGCCAAGAAATTTTAAAAGTATTACAATGATTCAACTGTGTTTTGGGAAAATTAAGTTTAACACAAAATAGTTTATATTACTTTTAAGGTAGGTCTGTACTTTCAGAATTTTCTGTCAAACTGATAATTTTTTAATTTGAATACCTTGAATAAGTCTTAAACTAACTAAAACACCCATAAAAGACATATCTTTCCAGATTAATTTTCATACAACATGTCTCAGAGCACATACCTCTAAAAACTCAACAGTCAAAATTGACATAAAAAAGTGTGATATCATATTTCTCTTAGTTATGCACCAAATCACATGAAATTTATGTTAAAACTTATGAAGATAGAAAATATTGATTTGCCAAGAGAGTATTTGAAATATTTACTGCAAAACATTAACAAATTGATGCTGAATCTGTCCATGTCTTTCAGAAAGAAATCTCAAAATATCTTTATTTTTTATAATTCTCAAAATCCAAATTGTTTAGATGCCATTTTTTCTGAAAAACTATTAAGAATTATATTTAATGTTAACAAAAACACATACTTTATTATGGTTGACCAAAGAATTTTAACAAAACAGTCTTTTGAAGACGTATACCCCCATTTTTAGAATATCAATTTTTTCAATTATTCATTGCAAAATTTTTCAAAAGTAAAAATTAAATGGATGGTATAGGCTCTAAATCAATAAAAATAGATATCAGGTTAGTTTGCTTAAAAGAAAATTAAAAAGATTTAGGTCCCTAAAAGCAATTAAGAATTTTGTGTCTGTGTATGTACTAAATGACATATAGATCTTATGGACGGAGTGCAAAGTGTTAATTTCCATAAATAATGTATATTAAATGCTTTGTGTGCACAATAACACTGTAATAAACAAATATATACTTGCTAAATCATTTTCAATCACCCAAAAAGATTTTATATATTCAATAGACAAGTGAAAATCAGTCGAGAATTTTATATTGATGTGTAAAATTAGACCCGGATCCGTAAAAGTGTGGTCCTTCCTTAAAATTATGAAATTTTATCTGCTATTTTTCCGGTGATACATAACTGTGAAGCTTTAACAATAAATTGCATAAGGATTGATAAAATAAATTATCAATTTTGCTTGTTATTTAACTTCCTTTTGATAATGCCTATTGCTTTTAAAAAATGCAATCAATATTTCTGTAGCAACTTTTCAAATTTTTAGTTAGAAACTTATCTAGAGTTGTAATATATATATTTAATAAAGTCAACAATATACTAGTAATTATAGTCTCATTGATGTTTTTGTTCAGGACGAGTTTATTGGAGTTGCTTTACGCCTCGTTTTGACACCAGCTGAGGTCTGTGGAATTCTCTTGGGGAAAATTTGTGGGACGCCGTATGATCCCAATGATCTCTGGAACGTATCTCTTCCTGATACCCCAAAACCAGCACCAAAGCCAAGGGTTCTACCAAAGGTGAGATATCACTGATATCCCGAAACCGCCACCAAAGCCAGGGATTCTACCAAAGGTAACGTATCACTCCCCTCTAACTCCAAACATCCACCAAAGTCGAGGGTTCTACCAAATGTAACGTATCACTGATATCCCGAAACTGCCACCAAAGCCAAGGGTTCAACGAAAGTTGATGTATCACTCCTTCATATCCCTAAACCACCAGCAAAGCCAAATGTTTCTACCAAAGGTAACATAACATTCCCCGATACCTCAAAACCACTACCAAAGCCGAGGGTTCTACCAAAGGTAACGTCACACTCCCCTTTAACCCCAAACATCCACCAAAGCCGAGAGTTCTTTCAAAGGTAATGTATCAATGATATTCCCGAAACATCCGCCAAAGCCGAGAGTTCTACCAAAGGTAATGTAACACTCCCCTATAATCCCAAACATCAACCAAAGCTGAAGGTTCTACCAAAGGTAACGTATCATTCCCCTATAACCCCAAATATCCGCCAAAGACGCTGGTTCTACCAAAGGTAATGCAACACTCCCCTATAACCCCAAACATCAACCAAAGCTGAAAGTTCTACCAAAGGTAACGTATCATTCCCCTATAAGAGAACACCAAACATGTAACGAACGAATATCTGTTTTACGAACGGTAAACTTGTTTACTTTGTGATTACCTGTGTAAATGACGAAACGTACGGACGAATCACACGTTTAGAAAAATTGTCAAGTTGATAACTATAATCACTTTGGTGTTCCATGTACCAGTATTATATGATATAAATATATGCATTTCAATAAAATTATTAAAAAAAAAATCGCTGTCCTTTAAAACATTGGCAGACCAGCTAGATCTGTAGAGAGAGAGAGAGAGAGAGAGAGAGAGAGAGAGAGAGAGAGAGAGAATTTTCCTTATTTAGCTTTTATACGTGTACCTTTCAAAAATTTAATAAAAAAAAAATCCCCTTTCTGTCTAAGGATTTTCCGCGCTTTCCTCCTTGTACATCCAAAAGTAACATGCAAGGAAGATTCTAGAGAACTTTAGCCATAACATTTTTGGACCATCTTCAGAAGTAACTAACTTTTAGAAGTATGCATAAATACACTGTATTTTTAACCAATATAGAAAAATGTTAAAATGTTCCTGTAGTATGCAGAAGGAAGGGTTCACTAAGTCTTTTTCTGAGAATAATCTTTTGCTGCAGTTTTAAATAATATTTTGTTTTGGAAGCTCCCTTCACATCTTTTGTTGCAGGAAAATACGCAGATTCAAGATTGAAAGAAAAGATTGACAGAAAAGTGACACGAAGCCCACCTCTACCCCTTCCAAATTTTAAAGTGTGGTGCATAGGGGTTTTTATGCGCCCGGATCGATAGATCCAGGGTGTATATTGTTTTTTCCTGACTGTTTGTCTGTTTATCTGTTTGTCTGTTTTTATGTTTGTCTGTCTGTCTGTTGTCAACTTTAACCTTCACCTCAACTTACAAACCATAAGAGATAGAGACTTCAAATTTGGTATGCATACTGCACTAATAAAGTTCTCTCAAATGACATCAAGGTCAATGACCTTGTGACCTTGACCGTGACCTATATGCTAAAAATAGCTTTTTCGACTTTTTGCCATAACTTTCGAACCATAGGTGATAGGGACTTCATATTTGGTATGCATACTCCACTAATAAAGTTATTTCAAATGACACCAAAGTCAATGACCTTGTGACCTTGTTTGTTTGTTTTTTCCTTGTCAAATGTTTTTGGAGCTTCCTTTCTTATAAATGAAGCTACGGACTTGAAATGGCCATGGTGTGATTCTATGCATGAGTGCTTCGTACACCGACCTGGACCCCCCCTCCCCCCTTTCCAAAAATTGATGGATCCGCCCATGTTAAAGGATGACCTTTGTATATAACGATAATGTCTTATATATGGCACGCCAAATTCACAAAAATGAGCTAAACATAGTTTCACAGTCGAAAAACAAGGTTTATCGGTTGTAAATTAGTATAGTTTACAGACTGTAAACTATAGTTAACAAGTTGAACGTTAATCTATATTTTACATCTGTAAACCATAGTTAACGCGATAATCTGTTTCAGAATCGTAAACTATACTTAGCACTGAAAACAAAACATAGATTATCTGATAGATACAGTTTCACGATTTGTAAACTATGGTTTACAACTCTTAGCTATAGTAAACGATCTGATAAATATAGTTTCACGATTTGTAACAAAATATATTGTTAACGTTTTATTACAGACAGATAAACTTAGATTAGCATTCGTAAACTAGAGTTAACAACCGTTAAATATAGTTTTACAGATGAAAACTATAGTTAACGAATTGTTAACTATAGTTTACGGTTTATAAACTGTAGGTTACAGTTGATAAATCTATTTCATCATCTATGTTTAACTTTCCATCTAGGATGTCGATATAAGGAACCCGACATAGATATAATAACCGGATATTGGTCGTTCATATCTAACTAGGAAGTGTAGAAATATGTACTAGCAGTTAAACTGTCTAAAAAACGTGTGTGTGTGGGGGGGGGGGGGGGCAGTAGAAGACTAGGAAGCCTGGGGGCTGCATAAAAGCCCCCAGTGGGTCCAGGACAAAGCCCTGGTGGGGATCCAGTGGCGAAGCCCCCGGAAACTAAGGAATTCTATAACAAAATAGAGATGTTTTCCTGTTGATTTTAAGATAATACAAACAAAATTAAAAAATCAAATGGAGGAGGGGGCGCACGCCCGGCGCGCCGGTGCTGGATCCGCCTTCGAAATAATTACAAAATAAATATAAAGCGAGTGATGGTATTTATAAAGTAGTAATACGGTTAATATCGTCGAGATACGTTCGTTCGTTGCATGTTTGGTGTTCTCTATAACCCCAAATATCCACCAAAGACGCGGGTTCTACCAAAGGTAATGTAACACTCTCCTATAATCCCAAACATCAACCAAAGCCGAGGGTCTACCAAAGGTAATGTTTCATCCCCTGATACCCCTCGATATCCTTCAAAGCCGAGAGGCTTACCGAAGGTAAAATTTGACGGATTCCCTGATACCCCTAAACTACCAAAGACAAAGGTTCTCCCTTAGATACTAGTAACATAACATTCCCTGATACCCTCAACCTCAATCAAACCCGAGACACCTGCCAGCGGAAACGTATTCCTCCCTGATACCCAAAACATCAACCAAGATAACGTTTCAGTCCATTATACCTCCGAACATCCACCAAAGATGAGAGTCCTACGCAAAAGGAATGTATTCCCTGCTACCCCAAAACGTCCACCAAGCTAGAACTTGACTCCCTTCTAATAACTCTAAACATCCACCAAATTAATGATTCACCCCTTATCCAAACATCCTTCATAGCCAAGGGTTCTACAGTCATACCCAAGAAAAGGTATCACTTTGATACACTTAAACATCCATCACTGCTGAGGGTCCTACCCAAAATAACGTATAATTTCTTAATACCCCCAAACCCCAAGATACTTGCAATAGTCGATAAACTTACCAAAGGTTACATATCACTCCATTATACCGGAAACCTCCACCAAAGCCGAGGTTTTTACCAAAAGTTACAGTTTACTTCCTGATACCCACAAACATCCACCAAAGCGAGGGTCCTACCCAAAGTAATGTATCACTCCCAGACATCCATCAAAGCTGAGGATTCCACCAAAGGTAATGTATATCACTTTGGTATCCTAAACAACCCCTAAGTAACGTATCATTTTCTGATAACACTTAACACCCACCAAAACCGAGGGTCCTTTACCAAAGAAAACGTATCAGTTCCTGATACACTCAAAAATCTACAAATTCAGGCGTCCTACCGAAAGTAACGTTGAATTTCCTCATCCCCCCAAACCTCAACCAAATCTCAGGGTCCCACAAAAGGTAACGTAAGTATTACCTTTCCTGCTACATCTTAACACCCATTATACCCAGGGCCCTACACAAAGTATAACATATCAATTCCCGATACCCCTAAACCTCCAGCAAAGCTGAAAGTCCTACCCAAGGTAACATCAATTTCTAATACCCCCTCCCACGAAAAAAAACCCCTCACAACAGCCAAGGGACCTGTCCAAGGTAACGTATCACTTCTTAACATCCCCGAACCTCTACCAAAGCTAAGGGCTCTACCCGGGGTAAGGTATTAATTTCTCACACCCAATAAAGCCTTTTGTCCAACCCAATGACCAAGGTACAATGTAAGTTATAAGGTATCATTTCTATTTGTTTTTGATTAACATGTTACACATGCACATTTCTGTAAATTATTTATATTAAAGAATATCTAACCTGTTGAAGTTAACATCTGGATTTGATTTACAGCCAGGTTCGCCAAAACTTCGTATTCTTCATTTGTCCGACCTCCATATTGATCCTGCATACGAAATCGGGTCAAAGGTTAAATGTGGGGAGCCCCTTTGCTGTCGTCAAGGAGACCGTAAAGCAGGTAAATCTAGCATCAATCTTAAGTTCTTTAGATTTCCATTTATAACAAGAATTTAAACAGAAAATTGTTTAGAAAATATTTATTCCAAGGATTCTAAGCTTCCATACGTGAACAGTTCACCATTGTGAATTTAATTGTGTAGTACTTTGGTGTCTTAACGTTTTTATCTTAAGCCCCTGGGGAGCCTGCTGCTGGAGTATGGGGGACTGTTGACTCGTGCGACGTACCCTTCAGTCTGGTGGATAGTTTGTTTCAACATCTCAACTTAATACAGGATCAGGTCTGAAACGATATTCATGTAAACAGTATCATATGTTATACCGGTATATAACATTTGTCGACCAAGTGTTTATGAAAAGATACATTTATGAGAAAAGGATCAATTCACAATAAAACTAGTTTCTATTTGTATTTTCTTACTACTAATATGATCAATTTAGATTAAGAGCAGTTCAGCAAACTCAATATTAATCAAATCCTTCTGCAATATGAATACGTTTCATTTGTTTTTGCACTGTTTGGGGGTGTAACTATTTACAGTTTTATGGTTTTAAGCTTTTGAACAATTGAAACATATGGAGATAACGATCATTAATCAGGTCAAAAGTCCATAAAACAACAAAACAGAAGCTGAGCAAACACGGACCTCGATATCCAAAAGGTCATAGGTGAGACTAGGTATCATGGAGGAGTGAGCATTCCCTGACGACCGGTTACACCCGCCGTGTGCTCCTTGTAATCGGGAAATAACGGAAAAATCTGTCGTCAATTCAGTCAGTAAATTCTGGACTAACAATTAGTATAAACTAGAGGTACTGTGAGAAATGCACTCACTAAATGATACCCCCGCCTCCCATAAGAATATAATGGCAGTGTTCATGTTTTGCTATGGAAAATCGAAAATATGAGTTGGATCAAGAATTAAATTGGAGGTGCACAATGGCACTATGTAATAAAAATTCTGTAAAAGTCTCATAAAAATTCATTTAGTTGTATTAGAGGAGTTGCAGATAAGAGATTGATACCCCAAAGCGTGATGGATTTAAATGTGTGACGTGTTTTGATGAGTGTTGATGAGTTTTATTGGTGGATTTTAATATTATGACGTATTTTGATGAGTTTTATTCGTGGATTTTAATTCTGTGATGTGTTTTGATGAGTTATTTCGGTGGATTTCATTTCTGCGATGTGTTTTGATGAGTTATATCGGTGCATTTTAATTTGGCCATGTGTTTTAATGGCTTTCATCGGTGAAATTTAATTTGGTGACGTGTTTTGATGAGTTATATCGGTGGATATTAATTCTGTGACGTGTTTTGATAAGTTGTATCGGTGGATATTAATTCTGTGACGTGTTTTCACCGATGAGTTTCATCGGTGAAGTTTAATTCTCTGACGAGTTCTGATGAGTTGTATCGGTGAAGTTTAATTTTGTGACGAGTTTTGACGAGATTTATCGGTGGATTTTAATTATGTGACATTCTTGATAAATTTTATTGGTGAATTTTAATTGTGCAATGGGTTTAGGGGTTTTATCGATAGACTTTAATCAGTGATGTGTTTGGATAAGTTTTATTGGTAAAGTTTATAACATTAATAATTTTTGATGAGTTTTATTAGTGAGATTTATATCTGTTATAACTTTTGGTGAGTTTTATCAGTGAAATTTTTATCTGTAATAACTTATGATGAGTTTTATCGGTGAATTTTATATCTATGATGGACTTTGATGAGTTTTATTGGTGGATGAAACATATGGAGATAACGAACAGTATTTAAGATCAAAAGTGCATAAAACACCGCAAAATAGGTGCAAAGCAAACACGGACCTCCACAAAATCTGTGGTGGGATCAGGTGCCATGGGTACTAATTCTGTTAGGTGTTTTGATGAGTTTTACCTGAAGTTTAGCTCTGTGAAGTGTTTTGTTGCGTTTAATTGGTAAATTTTAATTTTGCGAAATGTTTTGAGGAGTTTTATTGGTGGATTTTTATTCTGCGATGTGTTTTGAGCAGTTTTATTTGGATGAGTTTTATCGTTGGTTTATATCTTTGATGAGTTTTTATTCTGTGATGTGGATTCATGCGTTTTATCCGTGGATTTCAATTTCGTGGATTTCAATTCAGTCAACTCGCCCAGGTGGCGCAGTGGTTATAGTCTCTGATCTAGAGTTGTGAATTAAGGAGTTGATCCTTACGTCCCGGGTTCGAATCCCACTGTGGAATGTGGAGACATTTGGATGAGACCTTTTAAACAGAGGTCCCGTGTCGCAGTAGGTGCTGGCACGAAAAAGATCCCACCCTGCTAAATGGCCCTGAGTGCCGAGTATATAACAAAATTTGCAGCTCTCCACTGGCAAGTGGTGGCGTCTCCATATGAGTGAAAAATTCTCAAGAGGGACGTTAAACAATATACAATCGATCAATCAATTCAGTCAATTTCAGTGATGTATTTTGGTGAGTTTAATTGGTTGATTTTAATGTTGTGATGTGTTTGAAAGAGCTTTACATTTCAATAAGTAATGTGTTTTGACGAGTTTTGTTATAGGATTTTAATTTTCTTATGTAGTTTTTAAGTTGTGTCCATTGGTTTAATTCTGCAACTAATTTTATGGGTGGAATTTAATTCTGAAATGTGTTTTGATGATCGAGTTTTATTGGTTGATTGTAATTCTGTTGTGTATTTTGATGATTTTTATCGGTGAATTTTAATTTTGTAAGATGTTTGGATGAGTTTTATCGGTTGATTTTAATTATTTGGTTTGATGATGACATTTATTATGGGCCTCTTTTCTTTGATGTGGATTTTTTAAAACGGTTTTTTTTTTGGATTTCAATTCTATAACGTGTTTCGATGAGTTTTATCGGTGGATTTTTATTGGGTTGTATGAAATAATGAGTTTATTGGTGGATTTGAATTTATTTGTATGTTTGATGAGTTTTATCGTTGGATTCTAGTTCAATTGTGTGATTCTATGAAAATCATCGGGTGAATCTTAATCTACGGGTTTTTTGAGTTATATCGGTGGATGATAATGCCATAGTGTGATTTGTTGAGTTTTATCGTGAAATATATCGAGATACAGATAGTAGATTTTAATTCTGTTCTTTGATATTACTTGTTTGTGATTTATTGGGTTTTTCCTCCATATTGATGGTTATTTGATTGGAATTTGGTGCTTTTTTGTAGTGTTAAGTAACCTGAATCTATTTGGTTTGTATGTTTAAATAGAAAGAAGAAGGTATGGTTTTAGCCTTATTGTGCCCTAAAAATGTAATGTCATCAAAAAGTTTTGAAACTGACTTAAATATTAGTTAAGTATATGACTTTGATAAATCAGGAAAGAATATTGCCCAAAGGATTACCAACCTGCAAATATGACGTCATAAATGTGATGCATTTCTGTATTTTTAACAGAAAAAGCCTCAAATTATTCAACATCAAGGGTAATTTTCTTTTAGAAAATAGTGTCCACAGCCGTCGCCCACTTGAATTTTTTGATATGTTGTGCTAAAAAAAAAATAAAATAAAAATCACATATTTCAAAATCTTTGTGGGCGACGCCTGTGGACAATATTTTCTGAAAGAAAATTCCATTGAAACTTGGTGTCTTCTGCAACTTTTTAAGAAAATACAGGAAAATGCACATGTTTATGACGTCACAATTAGCATTTTAAAACACATGTGAGAAAAATGATTTGTATGATTTTTCTGCATGGAATTTCATTGATTCAGAAAGCAGTAATTTTCATCTTTTACACCAGTTTTATTTTTTAGAAAATCATAGGGCAAGACTTGTATAGAAACCATACCTTGTTATTTGCTTTTTCAATAAAATTTACTTACCTGGTCATTGGTCATTTGAAAAATTATTTTGTTAAAACACGTTCTGATTGCACACACAAGTACTCTGAAGTTGACATCAAAAAGATGCTTGAATCTTATTGACAATATCTATGTGGTTTTTGGAGACCAGGTCTTCCAACAATCTATTGGAATTCACATGGGTACCAATTTCGTCCTGTTATTAGCAGACCTATTTTTGTGTTCATATGAAGCAGAATTTGTGCAAAATGTTATGCATGAAAAGAAGAAAACACTTGCTGTGGCCTTCGACTCGACATTTAGATATATCGACGACGTATTGTCAATTAACAATCGTAATGTCCATTCCTACGTCGATACGATATATCCTGGTGAGCTTGAGATAAAAGATACCACGGAGTCTGACAAGCAAGTTGATGAAACAAGAATATCAGCAGGCTCGTTTAAAGTCATCATTTCGTAAATTCTATGGTTGATACAACGTCCTTGTCAGCAAATACAATTTATCATTGAGTCATTTTTAGTGCTGACTGACGTTTTTTCATACTTATTGTTAGTCCATCATTTATATACTGAATTGACGACGGATTTTTCCGTTATTTACCGATCATGACAAGGAACACACGGCGGGTGTGACCGGTCGGCAGGGGATGCTCACTCCTCCATGGCACCTGATCCCACCTCTGATGTTTCGGAGGTCCGGGTTTGCTCTGCTACTATTTTGTATTGTTTTATGGACTTTGATATTGAATACTGTTCGTTATCTACATACCCTTCATTTATGGTGTAATCGTAGTGTATTTTATGACGTGTTTTCTCTCAAAAGTTTGATGTGGTGTATTTTACCGGTGATTTACCGGCACATAACGTATGGAATCAGTCAAGAGACAATCAACTGAAGGCTCTCCAACAATTCACAGACCTCAGCTTGAAATACTTATCAAACAAAACAATCTACAGTTCGCTCGGGAACCACGAGAGTGCTCCCGTCAACAGGTAAACCAGTAGAGTTTTTATATGGTTGAATTTAATTTTCTAATAATTAACGCATTCAAACGTAAATTTGGCATTTTATTTCCCTTTTTTATTCCCGTGAAATATAAATGCTAGTAGCCTGAGTGTTGAGTTGGGAATCAAAATACAACAGAAACACTGTGTCTGCTTCTAAAACTAGAACAGGCTGGAAAAGCAAAACTAAAAGTACTTTGATCAACCATGGTGCATAAATCATAAGAACAAATATATTATCTCCCAGTTTTCCTCCACAAATTACAACAAATCTTATCTGTTGTTAAATTTAATTTTCTGGAAAACCAAAACTGAGAATACTATGATCATCCATGATGCATAAGTTATAAGAACAAATATTGTTCCCAGTTTTCCCCCACCCTACATTAATGACAAGGACGCCATCACCTGGCTCTATGATGCTGTGGCCGATTCCTGGAAGAACTGGTTACCTCAGGACACGATGTCCACCATTAAAAGGTTAGACAATAAATAATTATTTCATGTACAGTCCCATTCATTAAAATCCTAGTCGATCATAACAACAAACTTTCGAATTTTATGTCTTTTACAGAGGAGGCTATTATACAGTCAAACTTGGCGACAAGTTCCGCTTGATCTCGCTTAATATGAACTACTGCAACAACGGAAATTGGTAAGTCAAAGTAAATACAGGAACTATACCCTAGCCTAACAATGTTAATATTTTCTCTACTTTAATGTTCTTTAATCATTTTTTCTGTGTAGGTGGTTACTGATTAACACAACAGATCCTACTGGTCAGCTCCAATGGCTAGTGGCTACACTGCAGCAAGCCGAAGACCAACAGGAAATGGTACAGTGAACTACTGATACACTGGTTCTAGTGACTAGGAGGGAGGGGATAAAACAGCCTTGTAGTTGGATGAATGGCTTTACATTCAAAATTATCATCATTTTATTTTTTTTTTAATTGTTGCTTTTTTTTATATCCGTTAAATCCGATTTTTAGAAACTTTGTCTTTTTGTCCTTTATCCATATTATGATTTTTTGTCTTTTTATGTTCTTTTACCCATGTAATTTTTGTTTTATAAGAATTGTTTTTGTCCTTTAGGTCCATATTATAGGACACATACACCCTGGTGGCGGAAGTTGTCTGAAGGCCTGGAGCTGGAACTATTACCGAATTGTCAACAGGTTAGTAAACTAGTAACAAGTAGGGAGTCTCATCTGTATTCACTAAACAAACAGGTTACTATGATGTGAACATTGCTTTAAAAATTTTATGATGTAACAGATACGAGAACGTCATAGCGGGGCAGTACTTTGGACACAGCCATACAGATTGGTACGAGGTCTTTTATGATGACGTCACATTCAAACGACCCACCAGTGTTTTATACATCCCCGGAAGTGTCACAACGTTCGCCGATCTCAATCCCGGTTTTAGAATTTATGACAATGACGGCATCTACAAGGGCAGTTCCTGGGTAAGGAATGCGACCACACTCAGGCGTAAAGTCATCTTGATCTGTTGTAACGCCGAAATGGTTTTGATACTGATTACTGTGAAATCACTTTTTTCGTGGGGGTTTCATTTTCGAAGTATGGAGAGACCCTCGAATTCATGATCACCTCAAAAATATTAAATTTCATAAACATTACCACACAACACTTCTCCAAACTCGAAATCAAATCCCCATAAAGCAATACTTCTTTCTTTAACCTCGAGAATTTTACCCTTCGAAAATATGTAATTTTACGGTAATTTGGCAAACTGAATTTGGAACTCTTGCTATTGAATTCAGAAAATAGACACGTATGCTTTTTGAGATTTTACTGTTAAGTTACTGTACTATTTTATTTTGTTTTTACAGACAACATTAGATTTTACCAATTACTATCTAAACCTGACAGAAGTTAATCTCACGAATAAACCTCTTTGGCAGAAAGAATACAATGCAAAGGTAACTTTGTATTATTTAGGTATATATATATAGTTCATCCTATATCTCCATTATTGATGTCGGCGTTAGAGTGGGAAAAGGACTTTAATGGTAACTTTATGATAAATATGATGATTTCAACTTCTCTATCATCAACTTCCCCTACTTTTGTAGCAAATATACCCTTATTATCTGCATATGAAATTTCTATCTAATAGCTGATTTGATATGCAAGTGTATGCTCTATGTAAGAACAATTTCTAAAACGAGGCAAGCTATTGACTAGCAAGTTAATGAAAAGAATATTCACAAGCACTTCATCAAAGTTATCATTTTGCAAATCCTATGGTTGATACATGCCTGCAAACACAAGCTTTTATTACGTCAAATGTTGACTGACGTTATTCATACTAGTTGCAAGACTATTATTCACACACTGAATTTTGGACGGATTTTTCCCTTCATTTGCCATTCATAACAGGAGCACACGGCGGATGTGACTAATTGACAAGAGATGCTCACTCCTCCATGGCACTTGATATCACCTCTTATGTATAGGTCCGTGTTGCTCTGATCCTGAATTAAAGTTTGAGCTTGATCAATATGCATGGAAAAATTGAGTATAAAATAGAAAAATTGTTCACCTTGAATCTTGTGATTTTCTGACGTAAAATACCTTTTTTATTACTTTCAGGAAACTTATGGTTTGAAAAGCCTGTTTCCAGAGGATTGGAGCGAACTGATTTATCGGATGAAAGCCAATGACACCTTATTTCAAACCTTTTATCGGTAATACATATGTTGTTTTATGCACAACCAAATGAATTGAGAGGTTGTCCTCAGAAATAACCTATAATAGAATCATCTCCGATGATATTGGAGTCATGTAAATACAAAATACGTATAAAACATAGATAAAAATTGTTGAAAATACGGATGCATGTCCTTTGGGTGGATCTTTTAAGATACGTATGGCAAAATTTCGAAATTAATTCTCTACAGACCTATTATTTGTACCTGGTGTTTCTTATGTTGTAATTTTAATTGTAATGTTGGAAAAGATTGACAATATCTATGTGGTTTTTGAAGACCAACAATTATTGAAATCCCATGGATACCAACTGCTCCCCTATGCAGACCTATTCTTGTATTCATATGAAGCAAAATTTGTCCATACTCGTACATGAAAATAAGAAAACACTTGCGCCAATTTAAAATCACGTTTGCTTGTCCGACTCGGTAAAATTATGGGGTCAGTTGGTAGGTGGGAAAATCTTTAGTCCATAAAATTTTAACATACTTGTTGATGAGATGAGAGGAATAAAAAAAAAAAATCTTGTTCCAAAATATACAAAAAAATTAAGGTGGGCCATTTTAGTCAGTCTGTTGCGTGATTTTTTAAAATCAGTTTTTTTAAAAAAAGTCTTGCTGTGGCCTTCAACTCGACATTTAGATTTATAGTCATTTAACAATCAAAATGGTATTTCCATTCTTAAATCTATAAAATATATCCAATTGAGCTTGAGATTAAAAAAAAATACCACAGAGACTGACACATCTGTTTCATATTTGGATATTTTACTTGAAAAGACGTTGATGGAAGTTCAATCGTCAACTTCCATTATTCATGCAGCAATGTACCTTCATCTGCACACTGGGTATATACATTTCAATTGAGCATGCTCTAAGTATGTACAATTTCTTAAACGAGGTAAATTACAACAAGTTGATGAAACAAGAATATCAGCGTTCTCATTTAAAGTCATCATTTCGTAAGTTCTATATGGTCGATATAATGACCTTGTCAGAAAAACAATTTATCATTGAGCCTAATGCAGACTAATTAATAGGCCATTATTTACTAGCGACGGATTTTTTCGTTATTTCCCGATCATGAGCACACGGCGGGTGTGACCAGTCGGCATGGGATGTTCATTCGTCCATGGCACCTGATCCCACCTCTGATGTCTTGGAGGTCCTTGTTTGCTCTGCTGTTAAATGGACTTTTGAGCTTGAATACTGTTCGTTATCTCCATATTTCCTTTTTCTCACAATTTGAATCTTGTACTTTGGTTTTTGCAATTGTGAGTCTTTGCTTTGATATCTCTAGAAAATGATTTTTTTTTTTGAAAAAGAACTTAGTATCTGACATTATATTTTTAACGCTAGAAAAATGGTGACCTATGATGTTTATGAACATTTGTTTCAAGCTTCTTCTGTGCAACGTAATTAACAAAATTTGGCATAAAGCTTCACTGTCAGGCGACATGATATATTTTTTTTGAAATAAACAAACCAAATACATAGTTATGTTGAAATGCAATTTTTAAAAATTACGTTTGAAAAAAATTTTCAAAGTGCGTTGTATCTTGAAAAAAATATTTTTTTTCAAAGTATTTGGATATATATACTTTGAAAAAAATATTTAATATTCCTTCAAATAATCGGTATGATAAATAACAGATCCTGGTTTGATAACTTTTTTTTAAGTCACTGACATATTGCGTTTTAAATATTTAAGGTTTTGATAAAATATAAAAAAGAGTGACGATGTTTAATTTTCGTACACTTTGATACTGTATAACTTGAAGCTTCAAGCAACGTAGCATTTATCATAATAAAAAGGGGCCAAAAAAACTTGAAAATTCTTTCTCTCTCAAATTTTGTACTTTAAAATTTCTAGTTTTCATAGGTTTTAATCATTAAAATTATATTTAAAATTCATGAGGGCATATATAAAAATTTGAAAATGTTTTTTAAATTGCTCCCCTAACCGACAGGATTGGAAAGATAAAGATTTGGAGGTTCTACCTTTAAGTAAATCAATTCATTTTTGAGTTATTTTTTGAAAGATAAAAAAAATTCTTTCTTGCAAATATGATTTTTTTCAAATGCGTGTGTCTCCATGGTAAAATATATTGATGTAAAACCCATTTTTTTCAAAGGGTTCCAACAATGGTCAACTTAACTTTTTTTAAATAAACGATTTATCCAGAATGGTTTTAAACCTGAAAGCTGGGGTTGTACACCTGTTATAAACTGATCATAAACTGGGTGTTTTACACCTGATCTTATAAACTGTTCATAAATCTGGTGGCTGTATACGTGAAGTTATAAACTGTACAAAAAACTTGGCTGGGTACTTACATGTAACATCTGATGTTATCAACTGTCCAGAAAGCTGGGGGCTTTACACCTGATGTTATCAACTGTCCATAAAGCTGAGGGCTGTACACCTGGTGTTATTAACTGTTCAGAAAGCTGTGTGACTTGAAGTCTTGCATTATAAACCTGTTTGCAAGTCTCAAGTTTGCAACTTTAAGTAGGGTCTGGTAATGAAAAATTTGCTTAATTATTCCAGAAGGCATTTTTTCAGCATGTAAAAACAGAACACAGACATAACTAATATCGCAAAGATATTTTACTGTTACAACTGATTTTGTTGATTTTCGTTTCAGACATTATTACAAGATGGCTCCGACACCGTCATGTACAGGGCAGTGTAAAACCGACTTATTGTGTGACCTCAAGTCAGGAAGGTCACATGATCCAGCCCTGTGTACAGACATTTGAGGAAGGTCACATGACCCGGCCTTGTGTACAGACATTCAGTCTTAGTTATACAATCAAACATAGGTCTACGACATAGTTTTGTTATTGTTGTTGTTTTAGAGCAAATACTCATGACTTCATTTAATCCTTTATCATAATTTGTTATGAATGTACTATGTATTTTAATGAAATACAAATCATTTTGTACTTGTTGTTATATTTTGAAATAAAAAAATCAAAGTACATGTATCTTTTATTTTCATAAAAGTGATGGAATTCCCGAAAATCTTTCATGAGACCATAACTAAGATAAATCATTATACTTTATATAATCCCCATTTCAGCAGGTAAACATTATGCCACTTCAAGCAATACAAAACAAATATATTTTTTTGAAATTTTATTAAGTAAAAAAGTTTCATTTAATGAACAAATAACAACACAACAATCATATATAGCACATAACAGCAATAATAATTAGCACCATCACTGCCCCATACTCATGACCTTTCAATTATGGCTACACTGTGATATAGCTCAGAGCTTCATTTGGGGACTGTTAAATGTGTAGTATTACAATAAATTTTTTACATTCCATATTGATATTTATTTTTCTAATCTAAAATGAGACATAACTGTTACATTGATATTATAAAGTATTATGCACTATACAATAAATGTATATAAATTTAGAATATTTATTTATTTGAAAAAAAAAAATACATATAAAAGGAACTCTAACATCACAACCCATAATTGGATCCATATGCTGAGAAACTTAATGTGTTGATGTCTTCATGTTATGTCCTAGATCATATACATGTACTTTTCTTCAACTTTTGAAATTTTCATTTAAGTATAAATTAAATTTCAATAACAACTTAAAATCAAAGAAATAATTTAACAGCTATTTATAATTTTATTAACTATAAGAAATGGGACTGTGAAACACATTCATCATTTTAATTGGAAGAGTCAAATACTCATTTACTTTTTCTGAGGCAGCTATAGCTAGTTTTTTTGTACTTTATAATACTTTTATCATTTTTTCTTTGCAAATGATTATATTTTATTTTAAACTTGAATTACCATGTTTATTTTTAAAACCATTTTGATTAAGAATCTTGCAAGTGCATTTATGACTGCAATCATCTTGATCCTGCATGCGGAAGGTTTGAAATCAGGTTTAATTGCGCAAAATCATGTATATAAAACCTTGTGGCTACTGTAGCAATGTAGAAAGGGGAAAAATAAATTCAATGTACAAATGTTTCCAGATAAATCAAATTATTTAATTTTTCAACTTGTAGTAGTCTCAATAAATTCAAAATACTATTCAAACTGGCCTAATATCTTGCTTAAAGCAAAACAATTTTTTGACATAACCACATTCTGGGGCAGCGTAGGATCCCTCCCTCTGTGTCCAGTAGACAGACTTTTGTCTGGGTATAACAGGGCCCCCTCCTCTACTGTCCTAACTTCCCATCCTGCTGATCTTTAATAACTTATGTCTACATCTCTTTCTTCTGGTGAGAGTTAAACCTGTACTTGTTTGCTAGCTCCTGTCTTCTGTTTGTACGAAGTTTATCTATCACGACCTTTAAGGTTGTGGTAATATTTCCCACAGAAAGGATTAGATGTATAATGGCCAGGAACAAAACCTAAATAGAAAGAATTAAATATTCAATACCCACAAGACAAAAAAAAGACCTAAAAATAAAAGATTAGATACATAATAACCAGAATAAAACCTTTAAAGAAAGAAACTTGAATCTTCACAATCTGAAGAAATTTCCATATTACCTGGTAATATGAATAATAATGGCTTTGCTGTAAATAAAATTGAAAATTATTCTCTAGATATTTGTTTGTTAAACTTTGATCATTTTACAAACTTGAATCTACATTATGTATAGAAAAGTTTAAAAAGATTAAAAACATTTTTGGGCCTGTTGATCTTGAGAAGAAGTTGAAAATATTTATCCAAATTTTCACTTGAATAAGGGTGTGGCCCCTCATTTGAACAGACTTGAATACCCATTCCTCAAGGATGCTTTGTGTCAAGTTTTGTTGAAATTGGTTCATTGGTTTTAGAGAAGTAAAAAAATTGAAAAGTTTACAGATGGATACACAAACAATAGACAAAATGTGACCAGAAAAGCCAACTTGTACATTCAGCTCAGGTGAAAACTTGGGTTAACTAGAAAGGAAAGAAATAAAAAGATTTTTCTTCACAAAAAAATCCTAACAGTTAACTCAAACTTCATTTCTGATCTGCAACTCTTTACGAAGGGGATCTTGTAATATTTTATACAGACCTGCCATTCTTTACAAATTGGATATTTCGGTAGTCTATACAAACCTGCCATTCTTTACAAAGGGGATCTTGTGATAGTCTATACAGTACATAGGCATTGTACAACTGGAAGAACTGAAAGAATATGAAAATTTCATCTGAAAGAATTATACCATATAATGTTTTTGGCAAATGTCATTTGCAGATAGCACTAAATGTACTTGGCCAGCTAATAGACTGTAATTTTAAGAGTTTGAGAGCTAAAAAGAATAACCTGACTAGATACCAAGTGATTCTCAACAATTTAAAATGTGACTTTATTTGTAAAGAAACAGGATTTCTTTGGCCAGTTGGCAGACAGCTATTTTGAAATGTTTTATACACGAGACACACATTCTTGAAGTGTTTTAGAGGTGACATTAACTTACATAACCAGCAAACAGGAATGGCAGCAAAAATGAGATCCCCTTCCACATCCAAGACATGAAGCCCTCTGAAAGGAAGGTAAACATGCATCTAAATTTCTCTTAGAAATATATGTGTAGTTTAATTAACTTAAAAAAATTCTGTTAAACCCTGCCAAAGCTCATCTAAAAGCTTCAATCTGCTCAAAAAACTTTCAACTAGATACCAGAGATTGTATGTCAAAACCAGCTTGACAGTTCCAGTACTCAGATGCATCATCCAAGCAAATTTAGTCCATGTAAGCCTTAAAATTTCTCGTGAATGAACTGATTTTTAAAAGATTAACTGGGGTACCACCACCTATGCTGTGGATTTAGCTAAAGCTCATTTTGAATTCATTGAGCTGAGTTTAAAATAATGGTACATATAACATATGTAGCTTCCTAGATGAACCTTCCAGGTTAAGGCAATAGGGTTTATAGTGACCAGGGAATAGAAAAGTTGAATCCTGATGTGAATCTTGACTTACCTACAGTGATATCCATATCATGCCGCTGACCCAGTGCCCTCAATCGATAGAGCGCCCCCTTCTGGTAGAAAAACTGAACTATATATAGAAAACCTGAAAAAAGCAGAGTTCACAGGTGAAAAGATCAGAATAGTCAGTATAGGACGTGTAGGCCAGTTCATTCAGTGATGTTTACTATAGACAGAAGGGAAGAATAAAGGAGTAATGCATTTCAAATTAAATCGGACATGAATTCATCAGGGGATGACAAATCCCATTGCCCGACGCCCGGAGCTGGTGAATTTTAGGGGTGGGCAAGTGAAATTTTATCAACCACGTGCCCGTGGGCAAGTGACTTTAATATCAAAAATTTTATATGTAGGCCATAAAATTAAAGCTGGGCATAGGGGCTTGCATGATTTAGTCAGCATTTGTCTTCCTCCTTTTTTGAAATATCTATAAATACAGAATCAGTTTATGGTAGGGCAAGCAAAAATTCAGGTAGGGCAAGTCAATTTTGACCATGTACTTGGACAAGTGCCTTGAAAATCTATTTGTCAGCCCCTGTTCATACAAGAAGAATGTTCCAAAATTTATAGATGATGGCCGATTTACTGAAAATTAAATCATTGCTTACTACTATTATGTGAAAATTTCACATTCCATGACTTTTTTTTAACCCAAAATGAAATATATGTAATGTAAAAATTATGATCCACAAGCCAAAATGAATGTTAACTTCCTAAACTGAGAAGGAGACCATTGGTCTCTGGACTGCAGGGGGATTCTGAATGATCTCAAGATCGATATTTGGTTAACTGGAAATGATAACTCATTATTTATTACCAACTTACTAAGATAGCTGCTAAACATTAAATATTGTCCTCTAAAGTATTTGTAGGTATAGCTGTCTGGCCTGAAAAGAAATTCACTCTATATAATAACAGTACAAAAAAATCCTGATACACATATCACTGTATGAAATAATATACCAGTAATACAAGAAAAACCTTCTATGCTCCATCAAAAACTATAATGAATTAATTACAGATACATGTCAGCTAAATGACCTAAAATAAACTGGTTAAGAAAATGTCTAATCATTTTGATATATGTCCATGGAAACGAGGGAATGTTTGTTGATAAAATTTAATCCAAACATAGCTGTTGTTAGTACATAATCAATATATGCCAGGCCAGTATAAGCTTAGTTTTTACAGTAGATAACAAAACAATGATATAGTCAACATATACATTTTATCATGTTTAAATTTCAGGATAGAATAAAAAAAATACCATATAAGAGTTAGTCCTGCACACACAGTGGATATAAAGTGATGGGTCACCCACCAACCTTTAATTCTGAAAATTACGAAAATAACATGTCTAACATTTCCATGTGTTGTAATTACTACACAAACACACACTACATGTACTCTGTTTTCCAAAATATGTCAATTAATTTTCTCATTATACATGAGTTACTGTATAGCGGGTTTTCTTGGCCGGTGTAAAATTTGGCGTTTTGATTACTCATAGGTATGCAAATACCGTACAGCGGGTTTTCTTGGCGGGTGTAAAATTTGGCGTTTTGCCTGCTGAAAGGTATGCCAATAATTTTGGCGTAATTTATTTTAGCGGACAAGGGTTTCATCTCTTTGCAGTTGTACACTAAGAAGACTAAGTTAACCGTTAACTGACTATTTTAGCGATTAAAATTTTAGCGGGCTGCCATTAAAACGCCAAAATAAGCCAAAATTAGCACCCCGCTAAAATAACCCGCTATACGGTAATTTTGGTGTAATTTATTTTAGCAGACTCAGTAATTCAGCTCTTTGCAGATGAACACTAAAAAGAGTCCTGACTATTAAAATTTTAGCGGGCTACCATCAAAACGCCAAAATAAGCACCCCGGTAAAATAACACGCTATACAGTAATACTCACAGTAGTATTTACAAGACTTACTTTAGAATAACTAAACTTAGAAAGAGGAACCTTCAATACTTTGTAATTAGAATAATATTGTCAAGTTGCTGACTTTTATAATGTTTTTTTAATTATGAATTGACCATATCTAGATATGTTGGACTGCTGTAAGAATTTTACTCTTTATTTTTTATCTAAGACTTGTATAGAACAATGAACCTACCTGGACCCGTTGACTATCAGGATGTTTTCTCTGATAGTCAGAGTGCAGTAATACCAGACCAAGAGAAAATGCAGGACAGCATCAAACCACCTACAAAAGCAAAATTGCCATCTCAGTCTATGTTATGTCTGAAATTTTACTAAATAACCGATAACAAATGTAAGTTTTTTTTCTCCCAAAGTGTAAATATCAAAGAAAATTTCAAGTTAAATTAAAGTCCAAAGCTTTAGCTTAATATTCATTCTGTAATTAGGTATTGCTACATAGATTAAATACAGTACCTAATGTAAATAAATTTTGAGTTAATCTGTATCATGCTGGTACACACGTCAATAACTTTACAGAACTGACCTGTACTCTGTGACAAACATAAGAACTAGTGACAAGGCTAGACTGATGTAGCTCACTGTGGCTTTGAATGTCTCGTAGTTATGTTTGTATGCATATCTGAAGGAAAAATAGCATATGAATAAAACTAAACTAAAATTTACAATGTTCTTAGGTAAGAAACTCAATAAAGCTGGAAAACTTTGATTTTGAAATCAGACAAAAAAGTCACAAGAACAGCACTTGGAAGCAACTGTTAACAAAATTTCCCATTTGCGATTTGCTGGTTGTTCTCATGAAAACTGCATACAATTTCTCAATCCACATTTTTGTAATATTTATATATATATACTATGCAAGGGATATAATACAACTAAACAACTGAATACATAGGTATCATTAAAAAAACGCAGTAACTTTAAAACAGACTCACTTGTCCTCCTTATTCAGAAGAGAAACACTGACAGAGCCCAGGATAATACTGAGGTATATCCTACAAAAGAGATAAACCAAGATATTATAAGAGACACACTTAAATATCCAAGAAAAGTAGTTAATATATATCCTACAGAAAAAGAAAAAGATTGCAGAGTGCTTCTAGTTATAATAAATTTTTCTAAATTTTCTAGTTTTTTGTGACACCAATATACCAACTTTTTTGTGACATCCTTTACCGGTTTTTGAGCCACACTTTACCTGTTTTCAAGCTACGTTTTTGTGCCACCCTTTTCCTGTTTTTGAGCCAATCTTTATCCGTTTTTGTGCCACCCTTTACACCTTTTTGTGCCACCCTTTACCCGTTTTTGTGTGGTAAGAACTCCTCCATCTCCCTGAACTGTGACTTCCTCGCCTGCATCTCAGATCTCAGCTGTTTGAGTGCCTCCTCTGTCTCGGGTTTCTCATTTATTCTGAAAATTTAATGTTCATCCATGCAGTATATTTTGGGCAATGTTATCTTTGTATATGATATATAGATGATATATATTCACGTAAAATACTACGGTAATCTGATGAAGTAAAATTCCTTTAATATATAATCCTAAAGATCTGTTTGAATTTATCCATATGTATAAATCAAGTTCAATATAGTACACAATCTGAAAGAATAGCCAACCTATTCATCTTTTCAGTAATCTGCTTCATTCGATATCGATGATGAGCAATTCCGGATAGACATTTTTTCTGGGCATCCCATAATTCCTCAAGCACTTTCTTGTAACGGTCATGTGAAGCCTGTAAAATAAAAATTAAATGAGCTCTGAATATTTTCTGAATGTGTTTGACAGTCAATATTCTTATACCCCACCTTAATGGGCAGCTATAATGAAAAGATTGAGAGTAAGAGGACCATTAGAAAGTGATGACCCAGAAATGACATAGCAACTAATGATGACTGGGGCTACTGAAAATAATGTATCATAAATATACTGAAAGGAAAAAGAAATGCATAATAAACTTTTGAATTAAATTAAAACTATTATTTCCAAGATGTCTTCCAGTATTGTTATCAAACATTTTGATTCAACTTTAATCAACAAGTTACCAAAATCTTTTGTGACTTTGACTCATAATTCTTGAGTTATTGAAATTAATATGTTGATACCCCACAAAATTAAAATAAACATTTTCATCATCTACCTTGCGCATTAGTAAAAACCTTGATTTTCCTTTGCAGTGAGTTCACCAGAGCATTTATCTTTCTCATAAGATTATCATTGATGCCTTCTGACGGTAGTCTTAATGGTTGAGAGTAACTGTATTCTTCCAAAGCCAACAAATCCCCCCGCCCAACGAATTCCATGAATTTTCGATTTAGGATAGAATTTACAGAATCCAGCTGCTTGGTACACGTGAATGATTGTAAGAAAGTCTCGACAAACACTGACTACATTTTCACAGCGAGAACATGCTAAAAAGTCAATTTTGTGGTCATATTTTGTAGTGCCAAGATATGCATTAGAGTTATAGACATCGTTTTCCGATATTTGCAGTCAGTATAAATTTCTTGCAATCATGGTATGGCTGACAGAAGTTACATTGGGTCTAATAATTGAATTGCATAACTGAAAAAAAAGGCAACAACATGTTGCTGCGCAGTTTGTTTTTAAATTTTCAACCAAAAAAGTTTTTTCGGTTGTCAGAGAGTAACTTAAAAGGTTTCCAACTAACCATGACGTTGACGTTGGCGCCTAACAACGTCACATAAAGATAGGGCTTTTCATCATGCTACCTCGGTTACTGTCAAGTCATTATCACTAAAACTGATATTTATACAGCAGACAGTCATACTCCTATTTTCACCCTAATACTGAAAGAAACTCTCTGCTCTCTAATTCGGTGTGCGAGCTTGGCAACTTTACGTTGATTTTACTCTCACATGCGCACGTACGAGTCGTATGCGCAATGTTTTTAGTAAGGGCGAAACGGTTACACGTGTAAACGGCGACGTTTCGATTACATGCTCTAAACGTTTACAAATTGAGTAAACGTTTACACGAAGGTTAATATCAACGTCTATCAGAAAAAAACCTTTCATCCAAATAAGTTGTTTTATTTCATGTTTACCAAAGAAAACACACTCTGTGTCTGTTACAAACATTTTTTCTGTTATAATCGATACAGGAAACGTAACATTAAACAAAACTATCTAGAAACTAATATGGTCTAACATATTTAATTCTGATTTCCGAGTTGTGAAAACTAGCGATGTATTATTTTATTTTTCCAAGTATATATGTTCTAAAATAAATAACCCCTGTTGTTGCTTTTTATTGATTAGAAAATAAAAAGTATCATGCTTATAACGGTATAATGTTGAATATACAGCTCTGAAAAATTGAACATAAACCGGAACCCTCAATGTTATTTTTTATATTGATTTTGACACTTCCTACTCTTTCGTCATAAAAAAAAAAACAAAAAAAAAAAAAAAACCCAAAACAGTAATGACAACTCATACTTACATTATGGTGAAAGAATGGTTTATTGAAATAGTGTTTTGTGAGTAAGTAGTCATAACAAGAGGCCCATGGGCCACATCGCTCACCTGAGTAACTTGGGTGATGCAGATCTTTTTAAAAGATTTGTTCTATATATTTCTATGTAAAACTTGGATTCCCTATTGTGGCCCCGCCCTACCCCCGGGGGTCATGATTTTAACAATTTAATATCTACATTACCCAAGGATGCTCACACATAAGTTTCAGCTTTCCTGGCCCAGTGGTTCTTGAGAAGAAGATTTTAAGATTTGTTCTATATATATTTCTATGTAAAACTTGGATTCCCTATTGTGGCCCCGCCCTACCCCCGGGGGTCATGATTTTAACAATTTAATATCTACATTACCCAAGGATGCTCACACATAAGTTTCAGCTTTCCTGGCCCAGTGGTTCTTGAGAAGAAGATTTTCAAAGATTTGTTCTATATATTTGTATGTAAAACTTGGATTCCCTATTGTGGCCCCGCCCTAACCTCGGGGGTCATGATTTTAACAATTTAATATCTACACTACCCAAGGATGCTTCCACATAAGTTTCAGCTTTCCTGGCCAAGTGGTTCTTGAGAAGAAGATTTTTAAAGATTTGTTCTATACATTTCTATATATTCCCTATTGTGGCCCCGCCCTATCCCCGGGGGTCATGATTTTAACAATTTAATATCTACACTACCAAAGGATGCTCCCACATATGTTTCAGCTCTCCTGGCCCAGTGGTTCTTGAGAAGAAGATTTTCAAAGATATGTTCTATATATTTCTATGTAAAACTTGGATTCCCTATTGTGGCCACGCCCTACCCCCGGGGGTCATGATTTTAACAATTTATTATTTACAGTACCCAAGAATGCTCCCACATAAGTTTCAGCTTTCCTGGCCCAGTGGTTCTTGAGAAGAAGATTTTTAAAGATTTATTCTATATATTTCTATGTAAAACTTGGATTCCCTATTGTGGCCCCGCCCTACCCCCGGGGGTCATGATTTTTACAATTTAATATCTACACTACCCAAGGATGCTTCCACATAAGTTTCAGCTTTTCTGGTCCAGTGGTTCTTGGAAAGAAGATTTTTAAAGATTTGTTCTATATATTTCTATGTAAAATTTGGATTCCCTATTGTGGCGCCGCCCTACCCCCGGGGGTCATGATTTTAACAATTTAATATCTACACTACCCAAGAATGCTTCCACATAAATTTCAGCTTTTCTGGCCCAGTGGTTCTTGAGAAGAAGATTTTTTAATGACCCCACCCTATTTTCGTATTTTCTTGATTATCTCCCCTTGGAAGGGGTCTTGGCCCTTGATTTTAACAATTTAAATTCCCCTTCACCCAAGGATGCTTTGTACCAAGTTTGGTTAAAATTGGCCCAGTGGTTCTTGAGAAGAAGTCGAAAATGTGAAAAGTTTACAGACGGACAGACACAGACAGACGGACGGACGGACGACGGACACCGGGTGATCAGAAAAGCTCACTTGAGCTTTCAGCTCAGGTGAGCTAAAAATTCAACACATAAAATTCTCCCGTTTAAACGGTAACGTTTCGTTTACTGCTGTTCGTTTAAACGTTTACAACAGGTCCAGTACAATCAGTACATTTAGCTACGTAGGTAGAATTACCTACGTAGCTTTATTTACCTACCTCAGGTAGCTTGATTTAGCTACCAAATGAATTTATTTCTATAAAAAAGCATTTTTCTCAGGATGTGCAAAAACTATCATTTTGATGCAGTGATCATTTTCAACTTTGAACTCATCTGAAAACAATTCATGAAAAATTCCCTCTTGAAGAAATGTCTTTTTCTGCGCAATTGCAATCAATGTTTTGAAAGTTTTGGGGCTATGTATGACAGTTAGAGCAGTTACTCCTTGAATGAAATGACAAAGAAGTCCAGTTCCGGTTAACACGACAATAGGTCGGTAATTATTAAAGTAATCATACTCAGTCATGCCTCATCGCACGTACAGCTAACCAAATAATGGAAATGCATGTTTTGCTCTAAATTGACCAAACACAGCGATGTTTAAACTATCCCTGCTTTGGAATGTTTTTTAAAGTCTCCCTAGTATAAATATCAATAGTCATTTAACTGCGATTTTTTGTCTCTTTTCCATAAAAAGAAAAGTTACATTGAAATAGCTAAATAAAGCTACCTGAGGTAGGTAAATAAAGCTACGTAGGTAATTCTACCTACGTAGCTAAATGTACTGATTGTACTGGACCTGTACAAAATTCAGTAAACGTTTCACCCTTACATGCACGTATTTTTGGCTTTTTAACACTTCCCCTACGTGACGCCATACATTTCATGGTTGAGTAGTTTTGACCAGCGATTTTAGTGCACAGTAACCCAAAATACACATCTTACCAATTTTCATAATTTTCGGCCACATAGTTAAATATTTTCGCATATTATGCTTTTCTTTTCCCTTTCAGTATATTAGGATAGGTGAAAAATATATTACCAAGAATTTAATGATTTGTACCATTTGATTAAAGGCTTGACTTACATTTATTGTAATTATAATTTGTAGATATGTGTACCAATGGTTAACTGGGAGATCATGGGTGTGTTAGCCTGTTAGGGCTGTAAATACATGATTTTAAAGTGCATCGCTTGTCTGACGTCAAACTTGTGTGATGGGTTGGAGAGCCTTTACAAGTAAAGAAGTAGAAGTAGGGCAAGAAGGTGGGAGCAGCAAAAGGAATTGTGAATGGAGGACCTATATACATGATATCTGCAGGGCCAAGCTTAAAAAAAATCTTTGTTTGCAGTTGCTGACCTATAATTTTTAGACTGGGTAAGTCCGTAGGCATTATTATTATTATACAGATTTTTGTTAGATAACAAATAATATGGAGCTTTTCATAGGCCTACTAAACATGAATAAGCTCCACTTTGGTTATAAACCACTGATGATAAAAACAAAAGTCAAAAATTGACAATGAAACAGTTTCAATATTCTGAAAAATTGAAGAAAAAAAATTATATTACAGAATGGCTAGAAAAAAATTTGGGTCTGGTACATTTTCAGTGGGTCGGTAGGCAACTGCAAACAAACAAATTTTCATTTTAGGCCTAGATTATAAAATGATGAGGCTAATAATAGTAATGTGATACCAAGACCTTGATGAAAAAAGATGGTTGGAATGCTGGAAATGATGGTCATGTCTCAAGGCCCCACAGTGTTGATGTAGCTAGGGAATTTAATTATAATATATAATAGTAAACTTTTATGATTTGACACTGTGACATTTTGGTCATGTTGGTTGTTTAATTGTTTTGCGTAAATGGAAAGGAAATAGTTTTCATACATACATAGGATTCCTGAAATTTACATTAATATATTTTTGTAGATATTAAAATTTTTTACATAAAACATGTTCTGAGTGAACATAGAAAACTATGAGCATGCAATTGAAACAATATATATGGAGCAAATACAGAGTTAGAGTCAAAATTTTTTAAGAGAGTGTGGCGGTCAGCCGGGTTCGATCGCCGGTGGCCAGATAGCTCAGTTGGTAGAGCACCTGACCGGAGTTTCAGGGGGCCCGGGTTCGAATCCTGGTTTGGTCCGCTGCATTTTCTCCTCTCCCATTACATTTGGTGCCATGCCATGACCTGGAATTGACAGGTGAGAGACCTGCCAGGGATGAGCCTGGGTTGGGATCTTTGGAGGACCAAAGACCTTTAACAGGTTGGGACCAATCGCCCAAATGGGATATAATAGTCCGTTTGGGATATAATATCCCAAATGGGCTATAAATTTATAGTGCAAAAATTGAAAATTTTTATTTTGGCAATAAATATCATTAATCCGCATCAAAACACTTAAAAAGGAATAACTTTTGGTAAGCAAGTTTTATTGCAACCCTACAGTTTGTAAGACTGATCCCCAAGAAGTTAAGGAACTTCCGAGGGATCAATCTCCTTAACAATGGGCATACAGGAAAACTTGTCAACCAAAAGTTATTCCGTTTTAAGTGTCCTGATGCAGATTTATGATATTTACTGCCAAAACAAAAATTTTCAATTTTTGCACTGTAAATTTATAGCCCATTTGGGATATTATATCCCAAACGGGCTATTATATCCCATTTGGGCGATTGGTCCCAACCTCTTTAAGGAGGGAGGAATGTGGCGGTCAGCCAGGTTCAATCACTGGTGGCCAGATAGCTCAGTTGGTAGAGCACCTGACCGAAGTTTCAGGGGACTTGGGTTCGAATCCCGGTCTGGTCCGCTGCATTTTCTCCTCTCCCGTTACAAGAGTAAGAAAATTGAACTAACCAACAAGTGAAATGCCAACTGTTCCTTGTTTTAAAGAATGTAAGAATCCCAATCCATTTTCTCTGAATTTACAACTATAAGGCTTAATTTTAGTTTTAAATAAATGTCAATGAGTTAACATTAGGAAGAGCTTATTTTAGTGACCAACAACTCTACTGCATAGTTCTTTTTTATTTAAGTTCTCTGTTTTAAAAAAGATGTTAATATATGTCACACATTTATTAATTTTATAGTCAGTCTCATTTACAATTTATTACGCAAGGAGTAGAACCTTGCACCTTTTAAGCTTTTATTAGTCTTTTGTTGATTAATACATTGTCTTACATTCATTTCGAGAAAATTCGGTCTCTACGACACAAATCACATTCATAACATCAACTGAATCAGAGAAACTTTCTCGTTTATCTTTTACCTCGAGTTGCGTGAACTCTTTGTTGAGTTCACTCCAGTCTTCGAGACAAGACTTTAAATTTCCTTCTCCTTCCAACAAACCCTCGTCCATCGTCGTCTGTTTGATAAAGTCCAATGAACTCCGAAAACGTGTCCAGTCTGCAAGGTGAAGGTCATTTACTTTTTCCTCTTTTTAAATCACCTAGTATCCACTATGCCTGCATATCTGGATCAGTTTTCTACCGAGAACGGAAAAGAGACATTTCTTTTATGGGGTATGCATGTTAAAATCCACTTAAAAGATCCCCTGAGATTCAAATAAAGTATCTCTTGCTTATAATCAAATAATTCACCCTATGTTGATATGACCGCGTGGCCTAATGGATAAGGCGTCCGACTTCGGATCGGAAGATTGCGAGTTCGAGTCTCGTCGTGGTCGGAACATTTTTTCTTCACTATATCGGATATCAGACAGGCAGGCCAGTCTATATTTAAAGCTATTTAAAGCAACAAAGTAAAGCGTGTCAAAAATTTTATCTCGTGAATTGAACTATGCACATAAAGTACAGAGTCTGTGATCAAATAATCACTAAAAAAGTTAAATGCGTATTATATTTAAAGAGGAAAGTTTGTATTTTTTTACTATAGTATCATATAGATACATATGTAGTGCTCTTGCCTATCGAATTAACTGAAAGATACATGTATAAACCTTGCATGCAGGTGATAAAAGTATATTGCTGCATAAGTAAGGGAAATTGACGATTGAAAGTTAAAGTCATCACGTTTATCAATAAAGCTTTCAAGAATGTTAGATTACCATTAACGCCCTTTTCAAGTAAAATATATCCAAATATGAAATATTATAGATGTGCCAGACTCTGTGGTATCTTTTATCCTAAGCTCAATGGGAGATATAGTAAGATATATACGAATGGAAATAACCATTTTTAATTGACAATACATCTAAATGTTGAGTTGAAGGCCAAAGCAAGTGTTTTCTTCTTTTCACGTTTAAGAATTCCGACAAATTCCGCTTCACATGAATTACAAACGACCCTAATCAGATTGTACATTTAAAAAATCACACCTGACTTTTGATACTGTAAAATTTCGAATGAATAGTGTTGATATTTAATTTACCAAAATCTTAAAAACACTCGATTTAGCTTTGAATTAAAAAAATCTTCTATAGAATTTTTTTAAATACATGTTTAATTATTGTAAGAAATCTTTATTATAATTATCAGCTGAATTATATATCTACATTCTGATTGTATTATCATCTCACCTGAGCCGAAGGCTAAAGTGAGCTCTTATGATCAAAATTTGTCCGTTGTCTGTCGTCGTAGTCGTGGTAAATTTTCATCTTCTTTTCCATAACTACTGTCCAATTTCAACCAAACTTGACACAGTGTGTCCTTGGGTAAAAGGGATTCAAGTTTGTTCAAATGAAGGGCCACACCCTTTTCCAAAGGGTGATAGTTAACAAAGTTAAAATTATACATTATCGAAAAATATTCTTCTCAACAACCAATGGATCAGGAAAGATGAAACTTATGTGGAATCATATTCAGGTAGTGTGATTCAAGTTTGCTCAAATGATGACCTCCAGCGGTCAAAATGGACGATCAAAGTTTTACATGGGAATATATAGGACAAATATTTAAAAATCTCAAAAACATCAAAGCAATAATTGGTCATATTTATACGAAAGCATCCTCAGATAGTGTAGATTTGAATTTATTCAAATCATGACCCCGGGGGTAAGGTGCTGGCACGATGGACGATCGAATTTTTACATATATAGGAGTATATAGAAGAAATCAATCCTTAAAAAGCCCCCCTCTAAAGGAACAGTAAAGCTATGATCAGTCATATTTATATGGAAGTATCCTCAGGGGCATAGTCTAGATTCATCATGACCCCAGGGGTAGAGTGGACGACAATGAAAGTTCAATTCTTGTAGAAAAATGATAAGTTTGGCAGAAAAATATGTAAGAATCTTTAGTGTGGATTCAATTTCATTCAAATCAAATGTACCCCTATCCCCATTTTAGGAGTAGGTCGATACCACTTATACATGGACATTTAAGCTTTTCAATTCTAAACTTATTTTCGCTTTTTTCCTAGCCATGGTGATCAGGTGAGAGACACATATCCCCTGGACCTCTTGTGCTTCATGTAGAACTCCTGGAATAGACTTGTTCAAGGCGAGACAACTCCTGGCTCTCAAATATAATGACCCTCCCATACACACACACACACAAAGGTATGTATGCATATAAATGTATATCATTGATAAGATTTATCGAACCATGTAATGCTTTTTGTTCGGATACTAGTATTTATAATATTCATGGGCCCACCTGTCCTTTTTTTCCAACATACAAACAATTCAACTTATTTCACATTTATTTAAATGTGTATGTTAAGTGGAGACTTAACGCATTCGTATTCAAAAATCTTTGTAAATGGCTCTCATGAAAACATTATAATGCACCAAATATGTTTTACGCCAACAAATGAAAATAATCATTTGAAAAGTTGTTCTTTAACACATTTAGTTTTATTCTATAAACTAAACTAAACTAAATGTGTTAAAGACGTCATTACCGATAATATAACTTTTTCATGAACTTTTAAAATAAAGAAATACGATGTACATGTAGGTCCAGTGTAAGTAGTTTAAGGATAAGGCATTGCCTCAGAACGGGGGATGGCTCCTAGCTTTGTATGCCCAATTTCTTTGTGATATTTTTTTAGAGTGAATCTAAACTTTACTGGCCGACTTCCTGAAAAATTAGAATTATGACAAATAAAATCAAATTCGGCTGAAACAATGACAGTTTAATTTATTATTTTATACGATACTACATGCTGTGCATCGGAAATGCTGTTCATGTATATATAAGCAAATCAAGGCAAGCAATTCATATATACAGATTAATAATCTTCTGTCTTAACCAATTGACAGCTAGCATCCTTAGCATTTTAGCAACAATATCTAGTATACACATACTACATGTAAACTGTGTACACATAATGATACCGGGTATTTGGCTGAAGCACCTTCTTAGCCGATGGAGCATATTCAATCAGTTATTGCTTTGTGAAAACATAACATAACAAATTTTTTTTTTAAAAAGTAAAAATAAAATCACAGAGAGGGAGTCTGTCTTATCCATCGATCTATATACTTTTTCAAGTGGAAAATGAGAGTATTGTGTCAAGGAGTGAATCACACTATAGACAACTCTATATTTGTACGTACAAAGACCAATTTTGATATTGTTCATATAATAGGTGAGACCTGAGAATTGCATCAAATGAAAGCTACATGTAGGAAGTTTGGCCAAAAAAAAATGGTTTTCCAAATAAGATCAATAGCTTGCAAATTTTTACACTAATCTAGTGATCTTGTACATGTTATAAAGCAAATTTACAATGATTAGCGGAGCTCCTAGTGACGCATTTGAAAGGCTTAGGGGACCCCCTCCCCCATCCCCAAATGTCAACCCCCATGTAAACTGTCCACTCAGACTGTTCTGTATGTTTAAATGACCAAAACAGGTCTAACTTCATGGATAAAACCACACTATTAATTCAGTATACGGTATTGAAAACCTGTACCGTGTGATGCTCACCTGACCATGCACAAAATCCGGTATTATGACAAACTTGCATCGTTAAGCATTACTAGTATGAGTGGGCATGAATACTGCATTAGTAAATAAAAAATATACACATTGAGCACACTTGTAACATGTGTAAGATAGACTAAAAACAATGATAATCACTGGGAATGATGGGTAATATCACAGAGTTTATTTAGGCCTCGTTGTAAAGTTCATAAAGAGACCTTCGTAGTTCCATGTCTTCACTGTTTAAGCGCCCCCTGTAGGAGTCGTGCGCGCTGCTTGAGCGCTGGCGCCTCTCGCGGGCACCTGCTACGAACGTTTCTGGAGAGATTTCCTGCCTTGAGCGGCGTTTCGCTGTCTTTGTGGAGCGGATATTGTTGGGATATACATTCTCAATTGTTCTTGGCACTGTGGTGCTGAGTATGGCCTGAGACTGTCGTTTGTAGCGTCTCCCTGACCCCGGGGTAGTGTACGATCTGTCCCTGGGCCCCGGGGCAGTGTAAGATCTGTCCCTGGAGGGCAGCGTCTGGGTTTGGAATCCTGGAGGAGCAGTGATATAAGTAGTCAGCCGTGAGTTTCCAAACGAAGACGGATTCTTATGACGCAGGAAATCTTCCTCATCCGGTATAGACATATTCTGGTTGATGGTAAAATCACTATAACGATAATCCGTATCGCTGTTACGATAATCCGTATCGTTTTCACGATAATCCGTATTGTCATTCTCACAAAATACAGAGGAATTCGGAACCGAGAAACTCCTGACCCCAGAATCCACGGCGCCCACGCTGCTGCGGCGACCGTCAAACACATCCCCCGCCCCGTCACCGCCTGTATCCTCCACAAACTCGGAGGGACACAGCGGGGACTTAGCCGATACAAACTCTCCTCTTGTTATAGTCGGGGGTTCCAGGATTTGTGGCTTCACTGTTTTCTTTACACTTTTGGCCACAATGTGGGATTGAGTGGGATTAGACGGAGCTTTTCGCTCACTTTGTACTCCTGTGGATTTTTCTAGCAGGATCTTTATTGCTTTCACCTCTTCTGACAGATTGGAAAGTTCTTCCCGTAAATCGTTTGATTTGATTGAGGGGGACATACTTATGTTGTCACTTTCCCCGGGTGTGACTTGTACGCCAACGTGACACACCTCTAAAGATCCTGGTCCTTGGAAAGTTTGTATTACATTCCTGTTTTTCTCTGGTTGTCTCCCCGTTCTATAAAGGTTCTGTCGGAGCGTAAAGCTCTGTTTATTTTCGGTAAGAATAGATCGGTCGTCCCTCTTTGAGGCCCTGAATGACTTCAGTACATCAGAAGAATCCCTGACGTGAGTACAGCGACACACGAGAATGTTAAGATATCTCCCCTCTCTCAGCACACACAGGACACATCCGGGATCATATCTGTTTAGAACAATGTCCTGAACATTCGGCATCCGGATCACGCTATTATGGGTACCGGTCCGGGTGTACAGCCTGGCCCCCACGGTCCGGATCTCCAGCTGTGCGCCCTGTCCCCGGATTTTTGGCGCCTTTCTGGCGATTTCCCGCTCCAGAGAATCATCCAGACGACTGGTCTTCCACATCCCCAGGAAGACCACGTTCTTTCTCAGGAGTGAGCCCTCCATGTTTGTGTCGATGTAGATCTAGAATCAGGTTTGCGTCAGATCCTCATTGATTTTCTCAGTAGAGCGTAAATAGCATACGCCTGCATGTTTACACCTGTATCGACATCCCACGATAAGGGCGTGATTTATCTAATGACACTAACTGTAACAATTCAATTCATGATCTGCTGTGTATAAAATTATATCTAGTCAAAATGTAGAACTGACTGAATTTCGCGAACAATGGTTTTCGATTTGACCACACTCTACTATATAGTTAGCAAGAGAAAAGTTTGCACCTACAGTCTATCTTAAAACTGAAATGCACCTTGTGTGACACCTCAACAGAAATTATTCCTATTACCTGTACTGTCAAGGGAATCAATGTAGGTACATACAACAGATTTCTTATGATTAATTATTCATGTCGCCCGGCTTAGTATAATAGCAGTATAATTTTGGGAGTAAACGAAATAGAGAGAAAAAATGTCAAAATTCAACCAAAGAGAAATGAGCTAGAGTATAAATGTAATGCAGTCTTTCATCGGCAACACAGCGTGCAGACCATTTTAAATTGGATCTGAATATCGCGGAATAATTAGAATTTTAAACTCGTTCTACTCCTGATTTCATTTATTTTGCTGTCGAGATCTTGGGTAAATATTCAATTTAAACACTGCACACCTCAATGGAGTTTGACAAATATTGAAGATGCGCTCTTTATAATCATAACCCCTTTCTGCACGTTTGTTCAATTTTTAAAAATCTAAATTCATACAATTCTTCAATCGAAAGGAAGAAACGTGTCATCTTTTTAGTCAGAGTTATCTTTCTTCGTACATTTGTATCGTAGTACAATTCATCAGAAAATACATCAGGATTCAGTTTCTTAATCTCTTACTACTTTTTTTTCTTCAAATACGTGTACGTATGTCTTATCAAAGAAATATCTTATCATATTATATTTTAATGTAAATTGAATAAAACTGTTTCGTCGAGGAACATGCCCTCCAGCGTAGCAACAGTCAACATTGCTTGAGGATATTCAAAAAAAAAAAAACAAAACAAAAAAAAAACATGGTAAAGTAACATTTAAAATAAACAAACAAAAAATAATAAAACAACAAACTTAAAGTGTCTTGAGCAGCATTAGGTAAATAAGTGAAATACAAACAAATGTGCTGTTTTAAATGTAAACTATGTGAAGAAATGTCAAAATTAAAACAAAAAATTCTGCGCTTTTCAGGCAAACTGAAGTAAAGTAAAAAAACAAAATAATATAGCAACGAATTTAAAGTGTCTTCAACAGAGTAAGATAACGCAAAAGACAGACACGATGTGCGTTAGGTGGAGAGAAGTCAGGTCAGAAAAATAAACAACAGGTCCATGGGCCACAACGCTTACTTGAGTAAGCTTGGCCATGCGCGATATTTACGTAACGGAGTTTCACACTTATTTTGGCCAACCCTACCCCCGGTGACTATAATTGGAAGAATTTAAATTTACACTACCCCTTGATGCTCCCACATAAGTTTCAGGTTTTCTGGTCTAGTGGTTCTTGAGGAGATTTTAAAAGATTTTTACAATATATACATGATATATGTAGTTCAATGTAAAACTCAGAATCCCTATTGCGACCCCGTCCAACCCCTTAGGGGGTGTCATGATTTGAAAAATATAGAATCTAGTATATCTACACTACCCCCAGGATGCTTCCACATAAGTTTCAAGTTTTCTGGCCCAGTGGTTCCTCAAAGAAATTTTTTCGATATACATGTACATGTATTTCGAGATGTAAAATTCAGAATCCCTATTACGGCCCGGTCGTACCCCTGGGGGTCATGATTTGAACAATTTAGAATCTACACTACCCCAGGATACTTTCACACAAGTTTCAGCTTATCTAGCCTAGTGGTTCTTGAGAAGATTTTTCTTTTGATAACCGCAACCTATATATTTTGCCTTTTCTTTATAATTTCCCCTTTTAAGGGGGCTTTACCTTTCAGTGTGACAATTTTTACTCCCGTTCACCCATGGATGCTTCGTACCAAGTGTGGTTATAATGGCTAAGTGGTTCTTGAGAGGAAGACTCAAGTTGAAAATGATTAAACTTAATTTACAGACGGATGGACGGACGACGGAAAACGCTTTCAGTTCAAATGAGAAAAATCACTCTCTACCATCGGCTCATACATTCACCTCTGTCGTTGGCTCGCGTATTCACAGTGTTAAACACGAAAAATAGTGCGTTTGTTTTAATTTGTTATAATTTAATTTCTATGCTTATGTCTGAGTTTTGAGATAGATATTTACTAAATCAATCCAGAACTATTAATTTGAATTGAAACAATCCTTCAAATATCACGTTTTATACGTTATGTCAAAAATCTTGACGTGAGCCCATTGCAGAGGTGTCTGAGAGAGAAACGAACGACAACTCTGCATGGGAGATTGGAGAAAAATTACAAACGGATAAACTATTGTACTATTAAACCAAACCATAGAATTAAAAAAAGTTTGAAAGTATTTATTTCTTCGATTCTTTTGCATGTAAACGACTTCACAGTCCATAGAATTACATCGACTATTTTTTGTATCACACCACATCCACCTCTGTTCTAACGCTATCTGGCGTCTCGCCTGAGTCAGCCACTGATTCCTCTAGTTGACCAGGCAGATTCTCTTGACAGCACGGTAGACATGAGCGTAATTTGGCGGTTTGTTTACGTATTCGAATGAGTGTCTCATTGCGCAGGAGAATGTAGATCCATGGGTCAAATATGGCATTAGTGACAGCTAGCGCCACCGCTGTGTTATCCTTGGGATCTTTTTCTGTTGTCCATTGTGCCGCAAAAGAGAGCATAGTAATCTAAAAAAGGAGTAAGATATTTAAACCGAAGCACACCATTGATTCAACTTATAGCTCACAATGTGTACTCCCAAAGGGCTGTTGGCCACATTCCTTAAATGATAACATTAAGAAAAGTCGAATAAAATGTAAGATTTAAATATTTTCAGCATCTTCTTTGAAAATACTGAACTTTTAACTTTGGTTTGTACATACTATTTCTATATTTGTGAAAGTTATTCCAAAAAAATCTGGAAGAAATACCAAAGCAATCTTGAATTCTTTATAAGTATTCTAGAACGCTAGCGCCATTCTACACAGCAAATGTGTATATATGGAATCATATTTTGAGGAAAATTGAAATTGAAATTGAAATATGCATAAGTTTACTAAAATAAACTATTGATACAGGTATTTTCAGGATATTCAGCACTTGTATTAATTAACATTAGTTTTCAGAGACAAACACAGTTACTAACAACTTTGAAAGCATGTAACTTACAGGGCAAATGAACTCACCTAGTCCGAAAAATCTGACGTTTCCTAGGCTTTTTTACGTGCCAGGAAAACGTCAGAAGCGGCGCCATTACGAAAACTGGGAATTTCACGTACCGTCTGCAACAATAGTTGAATTTCATTACTTGTAAACCGAACTAATGCCGAAATCAGAATTTATAAGTAGTACAATGCCTCTAGTACCTACCAATATCGATGAAAAGAAAATATCACTCCACATTTCGATACAGGACTCGCAAGATTTTAAAATGCACGAAATGAAGACAAATCTCGACAATCTGATAAAATATTTTCAGCAGATTGTACATTTATTAATGACCCATAAAACAATGTTGGTATGTACTTATTAAGGTATCGCACTATTAATATCTTGTGAGTTTGACATTGAATTCTGTTCGCAAGTATCTCAAATCAACCCGAGAAAGCCACCTCCGGTTGGAGAAGGCGAATTCCCAGTTTGTCGTAATGGCGCCGGTTCTGACGTTTTCCTGGTACGTAAAATATCGATATTGTAAAAAACGCCCGGAAAACGTCAAATATTTCGGACTAGAACTTACCATGACTGGTGCTGTGCAGACAAGGAACAAAGTAACTAAGACTACCAGGTAGACGGCAATGGACACGTGACTGCGCGTGCTCCCTGACAATTTAGTACGACATAACGTTACTATGACGACGCAGTTAGATATCACTATAACCAGAATGACAAGAATTCCAAAAATAGCAAAGACGAAGGCACTGGCACGATCGAGGACCGACTTCCCCAGATAATTCAAGAAACACCACGTGCCCGGATAAAAGTTAAAATTTGAACCAAATCCGAGCAGATGCAGACTGCTAAATATAGCCGAAAACACCCAGACAGACACAAGCATAATGTTCACTCGTTTCTGTTTATTTTGAGCCTTATATGCCATTGGGAAAAGCACAGCAACAAACCTATCTACCGACATCATACAGACAATGAGAGCTGATGACGTAATGGTAAACATCAGAGTAAATGAGCTAAAGTTACACAAAACTGGTGGGAAAACGTAGGTAAAGTTTGACGCGAAGCGGACGAGAATTGTGGGGAATATCAATAGTGAGCCTCCAGCATCAGTAACGATCAATCCTAGCACAAGTCGCTGAAATGGAGCCCATTTATGAACTGACGAGGAGGAAATTAGCACATACAATGCCAACCCATTTCCGATAAATCCCAACGAAAATATGAAATAAACTGGAATAGTGGTAGCGGCGATAGACTCCTGGAGTGTTAGCTGTTCACTCGAATTGACACTCATTTCTTACTACAGAGGAAATAAAGTAATTTGCTTTTGCTTAGACAGTTTGTAATGTTTCCCTGTACAGTACTACAATATGACAAAAGCCTACACATATTTTAAATATGGTTCCTGCACTTGAAAAAAAAAGATGACTATTCAGCATCCTGTAAAAAGTTTAGGTCCTGTCTGTACTATACTACAAGGTGGTGCATTATTATAGTGATATGCTACCGATGTGTTATAATATTAGGGTGGCATGCTACCGATGTGTTATAATATTAGGGTGACATGCTACCTTTTTATCATATTTTTATGTTGACATGCTTTGTGGTGTTCAAATATTGTGGTGACGCGTATTAAAACCATCTATCCTTTTGTATTCAATAATCCAGAAGTGAAAAAAAGTTATCTAGATTATCTAGATAAGTTCGTACTTGTCCCTGCTGACAAAGCAGATAACAACATTGTCTTCGTTTGTAAGACTCATGGTATAACTTAGATTTTAGAACTTGGATTTAATTCTACAAGTGGTAATCCAACTTATACTCATTGTTCCCTTCCGATGGAAGAAATTCTTCAAAATAATATGTGAATATTTTTAATATCCCGAAGAACCAAAATGAATTTGAACTACCATATATATATTGGATTCCAAAACTTCATAAGAATCTTTAAAAACAAAGATGCATTGCGGGTTCAGTAAATGTTCAACCAAGCCTCTTTCTTTACTCCTCACTAAGATATTGACAGTAGTGAAGGAAACCTTCAAGATTACTGTGCAACAGTATATTCATAAAGTGGTGTGAATCAGATGTATATACTCAAAAGGACTTTTGGACAATTTGAAATCACAAGATTGTACCAAAAATCAACAGATTAAAAACTTACGACTTTTTAACTTTATACACAACCATTCCCCACGATAAATTAAAGTCCAGGCTTTTTGATATCATTGACAGCTGCTTTTTCAATAAAAATTGAACTCTTCAATTTACTTGCCTGGTCATTGGTAATTTGCAAAATTATTTTGTTTAAACACAATCTGATTGCACACACAAGTACTGTGAAGTTGACATCAAAAAGATGCTTGGGTTTCTGATTGACAATATCTATGTGGATCTTGAAGACCAGGTCTTCAAACAATCCCCATGGGTAAAAATTGCGCTCTGTTATTAGCAAACCTATTTTTATAATCATGGGAAGCAGAATTTGTGCAAAATGTTATGCGTGAAAAGAATAAACACTTGCTATGGCTTCAACTCAACGTTTAGATATATCGACGACATATTGTCAATTAACGATGGTAATTTCCATTCCTGCGTCGATACAATATATCCTGGTGAGATTGAGATAAAAGATACCACAGATGACTAGAACTGTACCAAAACTTCATAAGAATCCTTAAAACCAAACATAAATTAATTGTGGGTAACAGTAAATATTCAACCAAGCCTCTATCTTTCTTCCTCACTAAGATATTGACATTAGTGAAGGAAAAACTCCAAGAGTACTGTGCAACATTACAATATACTCATAAAGTGGTGTGAAATAGATGTGGATACTCAAAAAAGGACTTTTGGACAATTTGAAATAGTGTCATCTAACTGCATCGTCATAGTGACGCTATGTCGTACTATGTAGATTGTCAGGGAACACGCGCAGTTTCCATTGCCGATATACGATATATCCTGGTGAGATTGAGATAAAAGATACCTCAGAGTCTGACACATCTGTTTCATACTGGGATATTTTACTTGAAAAAGACATTTATGGTAATCTAACACCTGCATACAGAGTTTATATATCTCAGTTCATTCGATACGCAAGAGCATGCTCTACGTATGAACAATTTCTTCAACGAGGTAAATTATTGGCAGATAAGTTGATGAAACAAGAATATCAGCGTCTCGCTTAAAGTCATTATTTCATAAGTTCCATTGTCGATACAATGACCTTGTCAATAAATGCAATTTATCATTGAGTCAAATGCTGACTGACCTTTTCATACTAATTGTTAGTCATTATTTATACACTGAATTGACGACGGATTTGTCCGTTTTTTCCTTATCATGACAAGGAGCACACGGCGGGCGTGACCGGTCGGCAGGGGATGCTCACTCCTCCATGGCACCTGATCCCACCTCTGATGTTTTGAAGGTCCGTGTTTGCTCTGTTCCTATTTTTATTGTTTTACGGACTTTTGATCTTGAATACTGTTCGTTATCTACACATGTTTCCTGCTACTGTGGTATCATACTGTTGTGTTGAATCTTTTATTTTTATTTACATTATCAATGTATACAAACAAAATTTCACATTATATTGTGTTGAATTCTTCATTGTTATTAACGAGATTCTTAAATCTCTGTAGTATTAATTTATCTGAGAGTAGCTAGACCCGGTTTAAATATTGATCGTACTAGAGCATCAATAAGGTGGTAGTGAAAGATTGTAACATTAATCGGAAAGTTAGCGAAGAAAAATATTCTCGTTTGTCTTGCTCATGTTGCTAGCGTTTTCTTCTGATGTAGAAGTTTTTAAGTAAAATTTGCTTCAATGAAATACAAAACGTAAAACACTTTTCTACTGTAGATGCACAACTACTTCCAAAAGATAAATTAAAGTCCAGCCTTTCTTACATAATTAACAGCTGCTTTTGCAATAAAAATGGAATTTGTGAATTTACTTATACCTTGTCACTGGTCATTTGCAAAATTATTCTGTTTAAAAACAATTTGATTAAACACACAAGTACTCTAGATCTGAAGGTGATATTAAAATGATGCTCGAGTTTCTGATTGATAATATCTATGTTGGTCTTTCAGACCAGGCCTTGCAAAAATTTATTGGAATTCCTATGGGCAGAAATTGCCCTCCTTTATTTGCAGATATTTTTTTTTATGTAAATGAATCAAGATTTTTTTTTTATCAAAATCTTTTACCTAAAAAGAAGATAAAGAGTTGCTGTCACTTTCAACTCGACATTTAGATACCGGCCTTGTAGAGTAGGCTTTCCCCCATAAAATCTTTCCACCCGGATAACTGGCTCTAGAGTAGAACCCCCCCCCCCTCCCAGGAAATCTCCCACCGGAATCAATTTTCCGGAGGGAATCCTACTCTGTGTTATATTAATAGAGTGCGATTTCCCCAAGAGCCAATCCCCCCAATGAAATACAATCCATTTTTTAAAAAATCAAATAAATTGATGAAACTGTAGAAGACTATAAGTTTCATCTGCGTCTGTCCGTCCGTCCGTCTGTCTGTTTAGCTGTCCTTCTGTCTGTCTGTGTGTCTTATATGGTTTTCCGCACTGTTTTCTAAATGCTTGAAGACATTGAGCTGATTTTTGGTATGGTAGTATATTTTCAAGAGTTCAAGTTTGAGTTAAGTTTTGCTTCCATTTGTTAAAGGAATTACAACCTTTTGATTTATTAACGATTTTTGGCAATGGTTTTCGAAACGACTGGAGAAATTGAGCTGATTTTTGGTAGGTGAATTTCAAGTTTGCATTTTGTTCCAATTTAAAATATATACCAATCCAGTTTGTTTCATCATATTTTGAGAATATTCATATTTCTTTTGAAAGCTATATACTTTGGTTGAGATTCCATGATCCATAATTTAAAATATATGCTTAACACTCATTCACCTTTTAAAATCAGCTTGTAGTTTATCTTTAAAAAAATATTGCGGTTGTGGTTTATATTGACTCTATAAGGAGGGGGAAAATCCTACTCTGAGAAAGAAAGAGGGGAAATTTGGCTCTGATGTGAGATTTCCCCTCGGGGAGAAATCCTAATCTAGAGTACAATTTCCGGGGGGAAAGCTGGCTATGGGGAAATCCTACTCTACAACACCGGTATATCGACGACGTATTGTTAATTAACAGTGGTTATTTTCATTCTAATGGATATACGATACATCTCAGCGAGCTTGAAATAGGCAATACAACAGAGTATGATACATCTGCTTCGTATTTGAATATTTAGAAAAATGTGTTTATGGTTATCTTACATCAAAGTTTTATGATATATGTGATATCTTGAACTTTTCAATCGTCAATTTGCATTACTTAGCAGCAATTTACCTTTGTCAACTATATAAGGGGTTTATATCTTTTTGTCTTATTGACAAACAAATTGATAAAACAAGAATGTCAGCTTTTTCGTTTAAACCACAGGCCTTTAGATCGCTTGCAAAAAAAAAAATGAAGTGTTAAAAAAATCTTTTTATACACACAATTTTTTAGCGACCGAAAGACCTGTGGTTTAAACTCATCTTTTCGTAGGTTCTATGGTCGATACAATGACCTTGGTGAGATTATGATTTATCATTAAGTCAAACACTGACAGACTCTTTCATAGTTATTGTTAGGCTATCATATACACACTGAATTGTGGAGAGATCTTTTTGCTATTTCCTGATCATGACAAGGAGCACACGGCCGGTATGATCGGTCGGCAAGGGATGCTCACTCCTCCATGACATTTGATCCGACCTCTGATGTTTTGGAGGTCCGTGTTTTCTCTGCTCTTATTTTGAATGAATTATTAAATGGACGTTTGAGCTTGAATACATTTGGTTATATCCATATATTTCATGAGGAACTCAAGTTTCCTCATATCAACCTCAATACAGATGTGTTGAATCAAAGTGATTTTTTGTTTGATGACGAATCATAATTGCATTTCCATTTTTCATCTTTATAGAACAAGCATTTTTTATGGTATCAGAAGCAAAGATTCAAACGTATTGCGAAAAATAGTTGTGAAGAAAAGTCGAACGTTTTTATGTAATAGCTGACCTCTTAAAACCTGGCAATTTTAAATTTTCTACTTCATACCTAATATATAAACGAGATATATGCTGTATTTTGGGACTTCATGATAGGAATATGTGTAAAATGGGCCTTCTTTAAAAATTGTTTGGTTTCCCTCTCCCGACCGCCTGACTAAAATGGGTCGACTCAAACTTTCTTTGATACACTCCAAGACAAGATATATTTCCCCATTGTTTCCCTTCTTATCCAGTCAACAAATATTTTGGGGAAAAAATTCCCACATACCTATATACCCAATAATTTTTACCCAAGTCCAGAAAGGACAAACACACATTCCCTCAAAGATGGCCTAGGATATCTTATATTTCAGGGCGATATCTGTTGCATTTTAGGCCTGATTGGAATTTGTTTTGATAAGATATCTGATATATCAGCAAGATATCTATTGTATTTAATAATGTTCTGATCCGTGTTGTTGGAATACTTGTTTCATCATGTATTACTTGGAAGGGAAGTTATGGTTACTTCATAATACCCACTTGAGATACTTAAAAAAATGGAAATGAATCATTGGAAAACCCTTTAAGTTGTCGCTATTTATCTCATTCACTTGATTTTTAAGTATGGTGTAATTTGTGATCTGCAGAAAAGAAAAAAAAAGTTGTACTAACCAGTTCACACATGAGTATCTGGAAAATGTCTGGAAAATTTGTTTCTAAAATTATACGTAAAGTGCATATTTAAAATTTTACAAAAAAGTCAGAATGGATAAAAATATTCATAATTAAAAATAGAATTAAGCAATTGAAAAAGCACATGTTTAATCTTTCTTTCCGGTGCGAGTTTTCCTGATTTGCCTTTATTCATGCAAAAAATACATGTAATTTATGGCATATCTGAGCTAAAAATAATTTTAAAATCCGGGATTAATTTTTGTTTACGTTCGAATACTCCCATTATCTATAGTAAACTTGGTCTGATATTTAAATGCGGGATCGGTAAATAAATCGGTTATTGTTTTAAATTCCTGAAATCTATGAAGGTGTTTGATTCAAATTGTGTATATTACAGGAAAGTCCTATCTTTATAAAAAGTAGCACATCAAATAGAAAGGTCTTATTTATGATACCGTGCGTACCCTGGATTTCAAAAGCTTCAAAACTACCCATTTTGAGATACTCATGTTAAAGGAGCCCCCCAAAATGACACCATATTCATTCTCCTAAAAATATTATATATTCAAAAACTGCTGTCAATTGATAATGGAGTCCCCAAAACTCAAATGAAAATTAAAATCATTTAATATTATACTATGCCAAAAATATTTTGCATACTCTTCTGTTACATGTATCCAAACTTTTTTCTTCGGAAATAAAGATTTGATAAAAAAAATGTACTTTAGGAGAAGAAAGCAATCAGTTATATAAGCTAAATAGACAATATTTCAATACGCATAAATTTATTTTCCATTCATTAGTCAGCTCGATATTTCCCATGGAACTCGAAATAAAACAAACCACTTTCAGACGCTTTAATTTCTAATTAACTTAAAGATAAAGAACACTAATCAAGTTAAAAAATCCATAAAAACTATACCAACTAAGTGCAGAGCAAAAACAGACCTTTAAAAATATCAGAGGTAGGTTCAGGTGCTATGAAAGATTAAGTTTCCCTATTTAACTGCTCACACCTGCAGTTTGCTCCTTTTCCTGATCGTTAAGCGGAAAAATCCCTAGACATTGAATGTGTGAATAAGGGCGTATGATGTTAAAGGGAGATGACTTAAATTTTTCAAAAGAAATAATTGTTTAATAAAACATATAGAGATAATGAAAATTATTCGATATCAAAAGTCCATAAAACAATAGAAAATAGGAGCAGAGCAAACAAGGACCTCCGAAACATCAGAAAAGTCATACGTTTTGATGTTTTTGATTTTGATAAATTTTTGTGATTTGATTTCAAATGTTCTAAACGTTCTTTGGAGTTTTTAAGTATCGGCATCTAATTTACCACACTTTTCGAATATACAGATGTATTGATGTACGTATATATCTCTTTTTGTAAGAATTTATGGAGAGTTTTGAAAACCTGCAATGGTATTGTATTAAATTCATTTTGATTGTTGGGAATATTGAAAAAATGTGAAAAAGACGTACTAAATTTTGAACAATTTCTTCCTTAGAAAGGGATACGTGGGTAAAAGTTAGATTACCATTTGCAGAATTAAATCCTAGTTCCTTTAAAATGTAATGCAAATAATGAGCCTTGAAACAAAGACAATTTCGTCATATGGTTTGTTTGACAAAATAAATCCCTATCCTAGTATCATATGTATGAAAAAGAATGAACTTGTGCAGAGTAAAATATCGGATTGGTTGGCTTTGATTGGTCCTTAACAAGTTCTTAACACTCAGTATATTGCCTTCTTAATTAGAATATATATAAGACTGTCAGTAGTTTAAATAATTGACTTAAATAATAATATAATGTAAATGTAATTATAAACTCTGCCAATCGATATTTTGTATGCATCTTAACATCTTTTGGACAGGTGTTCCTAGAAAATTATTTGAATTTCTGACATTTAATCAGTATGTACTCCAGCATTTGGTTTTTAGATGTGTCTTGAAAATATATTTTCTGAGATAAAGGAAAAGAGACTTTATTAACGACTTCATAGAGGGTGTGTTTTGGTTTAAAAATATATAAGAAATAGAAAAGGGGGAAGTAAGTGTCTGAAATTTAACAAAATAGCTCTGTAGACAAGGAACGGATACCTGAAACAGGTTTGAAATTGAATAATATTATCTCAAGGTCAACGTATTAAATAATAATACAAATATTGAAGGAGAGAACAAAAAGGCAGTTGTTCTTAAATTCCCATAGCGACACAGAACTCTGAATTAAGCAAACAGATCAACAGTAAGGTAATAACAAAGGGATTCCTTAATGGGAGAATGGTTAGACGTAAACGTGGAGACACAGAATAGCTCCCAATACTTGTAAAATAATCCGGAAGTCTTCACTGATATGCAAATGACAAACCAGGTTTTCCTGTTTTGATAAGAGAAAACCACGAGTCAAAACAAGTCGTGTCTGTTTAATTGAATCATCAATCAAAAGTAAATGCATGTATCTAAGATCTTCAGCTTAAAAAGATGTGAAGTAATCCCATCTGCAAACATATTTTATTTGCCAAATTTGAAAAAAAAGCAGTAAATCTCTTAACGCAGCCAATGTTCTCTCCCACATTCAAATAAATTTGTTTCTTATAAAAATCAATTATTCAAAAAAATCAGAATGACTATACGCTTATTTATATATTGACATTTTAATGTGAACATTAATAGTTTAAATACAGCTTGGAGACACTACCGTTTAAGAACGGTCACAACTTTTCTATCTAGCAAATTGGAGATAACGAACAATTATCACCATCAAAAGATCAACTTAAATCGAGGGGTAGAACAATAAATAAACTTACAAAAAACCATCAGAGAGGGGATCAGGTGCACGTGTAATGATCCCTTTGGCAACTGGTCACTCTAAATACAGGATCTCCTTGACATTCATGATCCGAAAAAAAACGTAGACATTTAAGAAAGGAAATGTCAGTTATTTTTCGACTTAAAGGTAGATGGTGTTTTTACTGACAAGGTCTTTATATTAAAAATATAGTGTATGAATGTCGCACAGATCATACATATACATGTATACAACTAAATTCCATAATTTCAGGATAAATTTAGAATAATATGTATTTCTCAATAGATTTACGTGAAAAGAGAATTTTGTCTACTTATTTTACTAATGCTAAATTTATTTACACATGTATATCAATTCATAATAAAAAAAAATCATACATGTACATTTAATATTGGACATTCTCTTTGATACTGTAAAATGGCATATTTTCCTGGGGTCAAATTTATTTTTGGTTTGAGGAAAAATTCTTAGTTGGTGGGGATTTAATTTCGTAGACGAAGAATTATTAAGAAGTTATGCATGTGACATTTTACATTTCATGGTGGGAATGAATTCGATGTTCTCTTCATACCTCGAAAACAACGAAAATTAAACCCCACGATTTCATAGTACATACTCATAGCTAACAATAAGTATTAAAAAAAAATTAACACAATACTTTTAAAACTAAATCTAGAAAACCTTTTAAAATCAGGCATTATAAGATGGTGATGTAAGTATCGAATCTAATATACCAGTACCGGTATATTTAGTACAAGTATATGTCTTTTCACACTGTATTGTTTCTCCATGGTTCCAAAGCGTCACTACTCCTCACTGTAACTGTAGAACCGGTCTCTGTGACTTTCGTCTGGCAGATCCGCCGGTCTCTCTCGCTGCGCCGCTCTCTCTCTGAATGTCTACCTACGCTGTTGTCATGGAGGGATTCACTAACGATATTAAGTCTGCGTCCCAATCCACGCTTCAGTTTCCTCAGCCCCAGCAGTGTCTCCTTCCGCAGCAAAATGTAGATCCAGGGATCGATGATGGAGTTCGTCACAGCGAACCTCAGGACAAGAAGTTCTAGTTTACCATCGCCTCCCTTCGCTGATGCCTCCATCAAGGATGAAGCATGTGCGAAAATCACAGCCTACCAAGGAAATATAGTGTTTTTCATTTACTTTTCTGATTTCGTTATAATCTTTCTTTTTTTAGCTATACTCCTATTTCAGAAAAAAAAAAACCCATTTGTTTCAATATTGAATATCCAACCAATAGTTGTTTTCCCCACAGGGATTTAAAGTCTGTGTTTAATTTTAAAGTATCTCAGTGTGTATAATTTACTATCAAAATTTTGATTGACTCAAGTTTGAATTTTAATTTAACGATTTGATTCTAATGACATTTTTATCGATTGCGTTTTTTTCCACAAAACCCATAAAACAAAATTATCACAAAATATGCCTGTGAAATATTACTGTTGAATTATGTTTTTAAGAAAAGCGATAAAAAAATATAAATCCCTGCTGGACTTAAATATTGTTCTTTTCATGTTTTTCACGGGGTTTATTTTGCAAAATCAAAATTTCTGATCAAATGGAAAGAATATATTTAGAGTAAATTAGGGCTTCACCGGTAGATAGACTAAAAATAACAAAGCATACCTACCATTATGGATTAAAATGCCCAAAAATCTATATATACCCACTACTAAGGACCAAATTGTGTTTAAAAATTGTTTCTATCACGAAAAAGAGCCCAGCACTTGGTAAAAGTGACAAAATATACCTACCATTCGTGAAACCAACGGATGGTGAAAACGAAAGCATATACGAGGGACGTTCAATAAATACTGTAAACCAACTTTTACTCGCGTGCGAGAAATTTTTGCGAAGTTCGCGAGAGTCTCCTCATCGCGAATGTTTCTCGTCGCGAACCGGTCATAGGTGTCTATTAACGACAGACCAAAAAAAAAAGGCTTGATCGCGAAAATTAATCGTCGCGAACAAGTTTATTACTTGTAAATCGCGAAATAAAGTCGTCGCGAATAAAAGTTGGTTTACAGTAATGTCATTAGCTCGATGACATACAACATAGAAATCATATGACATTACGCTTGGCTTTCTCTCATTATTGAATCTTTAATGAATTGGTAACAGTTTATGTGACCACTTTTCATCGAATTATTTCATTGTGGGAAGCTGGAAAACAAGGACTATTCGAGACACTGCATTAAAAATGAATGGTAAAGAATCAGTAAACCAGAGAAAAATTAAACGCTTCATTAAAGCAAGTGTAACTCTTGTTTATATCCCAAAAATATATTAACTAAAATATGTGAAATTTATAGCAACCAATGTCTATTCTATAGACACACGAACAGGTGGATTTCAATAAACAAAAATTATATAATTGGCATCAAAAACGGGTACCGTCCTTGGCAACAAGATCTTACAACAATCAATGTATATTTACGAAAATTCAACAATTTATCATCGATTATGTTTTATTGACTTTAAGACACATAGCAAGATGGATAAAAATCATTTTGGGGGTAGTGCACACTTTTTTAAAGAAACATTCAATAGTAAAAATGTTTAATATTCAAAGGCCACCCTATATTTTGAAAAATGAGTAAAAACGGCAGCATGTAGGAATATCTAAACAATTATTTAAAAAAAATAAAAAATTGCACTTATCCACGTTTGTCTGAAATTCAAACAGATAATGAAACTTGAATCCATTTTTCTTTAAACCCTCGAAACAAATTTACAATAAGATGCACTTGACAAATCTGGAAAGGCTTAAAAAGAGCAAAGAATTGCAAGAGCACAACAACAGTTTTATATGCTATTTTCTTAAATATTAGCGGTCTTATTGTTCAAATTCATATTCGGGGAGGAAGTTCAATTTCTGGAGGAGTCTAGAAAACATTTTTCTTTTGCAAAAAAATTGAAAGGTTTATGAGAGGTAGGAAATAGAATTAGGAATTCAATACATTTATTTCTTCATGACAGCGTCCAAACTCACAAGCCATGAAGAGTAAAGGAGTTTTGGGGATAAAAAGAAAGTTAATGTTTTGTCACACCAACAAAATTTGCCAGATCTTTCAACCTTTGACTTGTTTCATTTCCCAAACTTAGATAAACATCTATCAGAAAGAAAAAAACAAGTACAGCAAATCATAGGATCTGCCCATATTCCAGTATACTAAGGGTCATAATCAAAAATGTGTTCTAAAACAATTAGAAATTGAAAAAAAATATTACAGAGATGTGTTTTAATTAAAAGAGAATGTTTTAGTTAAATCATTCAGACTAAATCATAGAAAAGCATTTTTTTGCTTCTTTCCGAGCCCCAATGCCATAATTTATTGAACGCCCCTGATATCTAGCATAAGGATGACCAAGAGGTGGTGAAAGTGACAAAATATACCTATCATAAATGGACCCCAGCAAGTTGTGCATATGACAAAATATACCTATCATTAGTGGAGCCCAGCAAGTTGTGAATATGACAAAATATACCTACTATTAGTGGAGCCCAGGAAGTGGTGAATAGGACAAAATATACCTAATATCATAAGTGGAGCCCAGCAAAGGGTGAATATGATAAAATATACCTACCATTAGTGGAGCCCAGCAAGTGGTGAATATGACAAAATATACCTACCATTAGTGGAGCCCAGCAAGTGGTGAAAACGACTACGATGACCATTAGGAACAGGATGATGTACACATCACTTCTAACACGTCGTCTTGACGACAAGTTATTCTCCAGTCTTATGTTTCTACACACAGTTACGATCACAGATATGTTTAACGAGATCGTGCAAACCAGAACGAGCAATCCAAAGATGGAATAAATGAAAGAATTGATGCGGTCTTTAGTTGTTCCTCCCACAAAGTTGAGGAAGCACCATGACTTGGGGTAGTAATTGTACGATGAGCCCAGACCCATGAGATGTAAGGTGGAAAGAATAAGTCCAATAAACCAGATCAATGCTAGAATGCAGTTTGTTCGGCGACCTTTGTTCCCAGAGTTGTATAGAAAAGGATGGAGAATCGCGAAGAAACGGTCAAAGGACATTGCACAAATAATCATTGCGGATGATATCAACGTAAATGTGTATATAAACGAACTATAATTACAGAGCTGTACGGGAAAGTCATATGTAAAGTTTGAAGCATATCGAATCATTACTGTAGGATAAACCAGAAGTATGCCACCTCCATCAGTTATGGCCAATCCAAAAACAAGTCTGTAAAATGGTCGCCATTGGTGGTTTTTGGAAGACAAAATCAGAACTACAAGTGCGATTGCATTTCCTATGACACCAAAAGCAAATTGCAGAATAGGCGGTACTGCAGATTCCCAAATATATGTAGAGGAGTTACTCTCGCCAGAAGTGCTGGAATTCGATGCAGTCATTTTCAACATTGACACGGAGAAACACTTACAAACAATTCTTCAGTTGTATTTATCAATAACCATCTCTACTGAGAGATCAACGTGTACCCTCCTTTTTAAAGAAGCACGTGTTTTCTTAAAAAGGTTTATTTGCTCTGGTTTCGTCGGTATAAATAGGTCAGCAAAGTGATCTTTGCCGTTAGCTATCTGGACAAAAAGTTAAATAGACAAATCTCTCAGTGGAAAATGTTATCGCTAAGATACTGAAAATGATTGTTATTTACTTCTCTCCGAATCTAGTGGCTGATGTAAATTCCTGAACGTGTTTTGGTTATACTTATAGAGTTCTAAAGAAACTGCCGAACAGAAGGTCAAAAGTTGAAATCACAGTTTATAAAGTGGAAGGCTAACCAATGTCCTCTTCTCCATCGTTATTCTTAATGATAGTAAAAGTACTATCTAAAACATCCTATGAGGAAAAAATCACCCAAAGAAAGAAATTCCAATGCAGTCTTGATAAACAAACGAGTTTTTCGTTCGAGGGCTAGTGTTGAATTTGAGCTGAACATGATTTTACCTTGATTTAAAGTAGTCTTATCAAAATGATTTGTCCTAAATTCCTATAATGTACATTTATGACAATGCTGAATGATTGCTGGTAGCAATAAAAACATAGAGGTGTTTGAGAGGGATGCGATAAATATGCACATCGAATAAATAATTAAGATACAATAGAAGTTTTAAAGTTACTTTGAAACATGTTTTTGTAGTTTGTGTGTAGGAGGATGGTCCTTCATTTCCATCTTAAATTCAGGAAAAACATTAAGTTATCAAGACATAAAGGGCTATACAGATAAAAAATATGGACAGAAGATTAATTTTTCGTTTAATGTCTTTATCCAGAGTTTATCCATTCATATTTAGAACCCACTTCTTGTCAGAGAATCCTGAAAATTTAGAACTGAACACGGCACTCAAGCCCAGTTGTAGAGAGGGGCCTTTTGTGTAACAGCACCAATTGCGACACGGGACCTCGGTTTAAATGGTCTCATCCGAAGGACGGGTCTCATCCTCTGGTGCAGGATATTAATTCAAAGATCAACTTGCGACTCCAGAACATGTACTATAAAGTCTGCACAACGCGGTTAACAAATAAACAATAGTGAATCAATTGGATAGTTGGACATTTCTATCATTTCATTGCTTCATTAAAAAAAAATGTTTTGGGGAAAAAGACTTTATCATTTGCTATTTCTTTTCTAATTGTAACCAAAATTGAAAGTTTTAATTTTAGAAAATGAAATGAATAATATCTGGTAAAACAGTTACAAGTGTACGTGCTTCGTAACATTTAAATTGAAAAAAAAATATTTCATAGGATAATACTTTCTAATTTGTCTGCGATAACAAAATGAAGTTAATGCTGAAAAAAATTCCAGTGTATCTACAAGTTTACTTTTATAATTGCTTTTAGAAACTATATTTAAATGAAATCACTTACACATGGTGATCAGAAAAATGGCATTGTGTTCTTTATATGAAATGATAAAAAGGCACTTGAGGCATATAAATTTTAATTCTTAAAGACGTTGACGTTTACAAAATATGATTGTTTGGAGATCTGTATTTGCTCTGTGCCTATTTAGTATTGTTTTATGGACTTTTGATCTCGATTACTGTTCGTTATCCCCATATGTTTCATTACAAAATAAGTTTCTCATAGCCTTTGTTGAAGAGAAAGTAGCATAATTTTATGCATAAGTCAATCTTTCTTCCCTTTATCCACTCCTCGGTCAAACTTGAGCATGTAAGTACGAGTGAATTGAACTTGAAATTTATATTCACCTTATATAAATGCACATATCCTTGTTTGACACTGAGAACCTTAAACTAAATAACTTCAATTATCTTATTTGAAAATTAAAAATAAAATATAGTGATCAATGTCAGAAAATCTATACGCAATACAAAATCTGAAAAGGGTATAAATATGGGCCAACAGAAATTTCAGAGTTGGGATCAGATTTGTCATAGGAGGAAGCATCCCCTGTTGACCGGTCACGACAAGCGTAAGGTCTATGGATTGATCAGGTAGACTGAAACAATTAATTAATTAATAAAAAACACGCGTTCAACAATTGGTTTCAAACATACTGACTCCAAAATAGGTTTTATTCGCTAACAAGATCATTTAATAGAATTTGCAGTACTTTTATTTGAGTAACTTTGTGCAGAAACAAAGATATTATAAAATGTAAATTTCCTAGTTCCATTTTATCTGAAGAGGCAATTGTCTTTTATATTCGAATTGATAAGAATTGTCAAATTTACATTAAAAAGAAATCACATAAAACTAATAACTATTAGCATATAATAAATTTGTAATCGTTCAATCTTAAAAAAAACACATCATACTTCTTTTCCAGTAAGCGCTGTTGTTTAATCTTCTACTATGCAAATCTAATTGGTAGAGAATGAATTGTATCTTGTTAAAGAGAATGGTTGAGACAGGTACCCTTCGTAATTGTAAATACTTTAGCTTCCTCCAAAGAATTTGGCTTTACACTAGATTCTTCTGTTCTCCTGCTCTCTGTATTTGTCCTTGACCCACTTTGCGTTACTTTTACTGGATACGGACAGCGTTCTCTCCATGAATTTCTACTAATATTGTTATCATGGATAGAATCGTTGACAACCTTTAATCTGTTTAGCATCGCTCGTTTAAGTTTTCTTAGCCCAACAAGAGTCTCTTTTCTTAGTAAAATATATATCCAAGGATCTATAATAGAATTGGTCACTGCGAATCTTAAAGCAAGAAGTTCTAACTGGCGACCTTCTTTATCTGATGCTTCCATTAAAGATGCAGCATGTGCAAAAATGACAATCTGAAATACAAAGATGGAATGAGAAAAAAATGTATATAACAATGAAAGATAATAAGAAGGAAGTAAGTAAGTAAGGGGAAAGGATTTTTCTTCAAAAACACTTCATTAGACGTATCAAAAAGGCATAAAAATACAAAAAATTATTTTACTTCAAATTAGATTTTCAAGGCAAGATACTTTAGCACCAAATTTCTAATGCAACAAATTTTTTTTCAATTTTGTGTGCAATTGTTTAAAAATCTAAATTGCCTACCATGAGTGGGGCCCAGCACGTGGTGAAGATAACGACGATGACCAGTAAAAAGAAAACAATGTAGACATCATTCTTCACGCTTCGTCCTCTTGATGTCTTATGGCCCCGTCTCATTTTTCTACACACATTAAAGATCACAGATATATTTAGGAAAAGGGTACAGATCAAGATAAGGAATCCAAAGATGGAATATATATAAGAATTTATACGATCTTCGGTGGTCCCTCCCACGAAGTTGAGAAAGCACCAGGAATAAGGATAGTAATTATAGCTGGACCCTAAACCCATTAGGTGGAGGGTAGACAATAGAAGTCCAGTTAACCAAATGGAAAGAAGAAAACAGTTTGTTCGACGACCTTTGTTCCCGGAGTTGTACAGAAAGGGATAAACCATAGCAAAAAATCGGTCAAAGGACATTGCACATATGATCATTGCAGATGATATCAACGTAAATGTGTATATAAAGGAACTGTAATCACAAAGCTCTGTGGGAAACTGGAATGTAAAGTTTGAAGCGTAACGAATCATTACTGTAGGATAAACCAGAAGAATTCCACCACCATCAGTTATGGCCAATCCAAAAACAAGTCTGTAAAATGGTCGCCATTGATGGTTTTTGGAAGAGTAAATCAGCACAACAAGTGCTATAACATTTCCGATGACGCCAAAAGCAAACTGTAGAGCAGGTGGGACAGCAGATTCCCAAATATCCGTAGAGGAGTTACTTGAATTCGACACTTTCATATTCATGAATCCAACACACTAGTTAAAAATTAGTTTAAAAAAGTGAAATTTCCCCTGCTCCAAGACGGAAAATAAGACAGGCGAAACTTGAATTAGGCAATACTGATAAGACTGCTCTTCACTACCTCTTAATCACATTTTCATACCTTTGCACAGCACTAATCTTAAACAATCATTTTCCATGTAAAATAACAAATCACAAGAATGTCACAGAGTCTGACACATCTGTTTCATACTTGGATATATTTTACTTTAAAATGACGTTAATAGTAATCTAACAACAAAGCTATATGATTAACGTGATGACGTTAACTTTTCTATCGTCAACTTATGCAGCAATATACCTTTATCACCTGTATACGGAGTGTATTTATCTCAGTTGATTCGATACGCAAGAGCATACTCTACGTTAGAACAATTTCTAAAAAGAGGTAAATTATTGACAAGCAAGTTGATGAAACACGAATATCAACAGTCTCAGTTAAAGTCATCATTCTGTAAGTTCTATGGTCGATACAATTACCTTGTCAGTAAATACAATTTATCATTGAGTCAAATGCTGACTGACCTTTTTCATACTAATTGTTAAGCCAAAATTCATACACTGAATTGATGACGGTTTTTATCGTTATTTCCCGATCTTGACAAGGAGCACACGGCGGATGCGACCGGTGAGCAGGGGATGCTCACGCCTCCATGGCATCTTCTATTATACGAGGGGTTATCAAAAAGTTCGTGGACTGATGCTATAAAATAAGTACTATGTAGTCTGTGCTTTCAAAATTTATATGGAACATAAAACAACAAAAAATAAAGAAATGTTGAAAATTTTAGCCAGATACGTTCATTATTTGCCAAATTATTACAAAATATAAACTACATTATATGACCACCCGGCGCTGTCGTCGTTTATTTTCATGACGTCCGATAACGTCATTGTTTTTTTCAATGTCCGCTTCTTCTACCTCATACACTTTTTTGATGAGATTCCCTGGAGCTGAGTAAGGACTTAAACCCGCCTTGTTTATATGACTCTACATTGTCATGAACAGTGGCCTTCAATTAATATAATATTCCAAATGGATTAATACATTGGGAGAGATCCACTCTTGATTATGCCGGCATATTTTGCTTTTTGGAGTTCAATATCTACAATGCACGATCAACGTCTTTTTTTGACTTGATTGATTTTTCACACCTTGACTGCAAATCGACATTAACTGCGTATCCTTTTTTTCTCTGAATCTTTTTTGACATTAAAAGAAAAGTACTCTGGGTGCATATTATTTCTCTGTAGCCAGTTTCAACATATTTTAGGTCTATACCAGATTTTTCAGGGGCAAAACTTTATAGAATGTTGGAAACGGAAACCCCTCCCCCCTTTTGACGTCATGTTTAAGGCCTCATTTGTTTGGACATTCCGTGTAAAATTTACAATAAAATTTTATAGAACTTCCAGAATGAAGTGAAAATATCATATCATAATTGTGTCCCGACACATACCTGAATTAACGGGATTTTTAGATGTCAAATGATCACATAAAAAGAGTTTTTCTCAGTTACACATAGGTCGTTAAAACGTCGTTTTCGAGGTTGCGCCGCCTGGACATACCATTGCTTACAAAAACATTACTAATTTAATAAAAAATAAAATTTATGATTTATGGTTTATTCTTTAGATAGAAAAGATGATGCTAACAAGATATTCCAAAATTCATTGATATGCCTAAAGTGGTTTTAATTTTATGACGCTAGTCCACGAACTTTTTGATAACCCCTCTTATATGTGAGCTTCACCTTTTTAAACTCTGTGAAATGACATATCTGGGAATAATGATCGTTAAAGTCCATTTTACAATACAAAGTAGGAGTGAATCAAACACGGACCTTCAAAACACTAGAGGTGGGATCAGGTTGATTGAGGAGTGAGAATTCATGCCGACCGGTAGGAATATAATACTATTATGTTTAGCCTTTCAAACCAATTGTAAAAAATGAAAAAATGTTATTTTCACCTCTAACCTCTTGCTCTGAAATATTATCTTCCCCTTCTCTCTTTTATATATCATGAATCACTTTTTTTCTAAAGTTTTGGAAGAGAGAGAGAGAGAGAGAGAGAGAGAGAGAGAGAGAGAGAGAGAGAGAGAGAGAGAGTAGTTGTAAAAAGAACTCAGATTTGACAATTTCTTATAAGTGATGAAAAGACATCATTTCTTCATTTATAAAAATGTTTGCCATTTAATTTGACCCATCTGTTTAATAGAGAATTATGAAAGGATTTCATTATTTTTGCTGTGTATTGGTCTGATATAGAAATTTTAATATTCGGTATTCAAAGACCTTTAAATTTGTTAGTTATGTACAGCCAAAAAGGTTAAGAAGAAAAAATCTTTAAAATCTCTAAGGCATGGCATAATTAAAATTTATAATTTTGTCTTCCTCTTACTACCCTATTGATCGATTGTCAAAGTCTGTCTTTTACATTAACCGAGACATATGATTCTTATCTGAAAAGTGTTTTCCAATTTAAAGCATGATGGTAATTTGTACCTGAGATAAGCGAATAACAATTTAACTACCTGTTTTGAAGTACTTTTTGTCAGGTGATAGGTCACTGAATTGTTGAACTGTTACATAATGTTACCTTTACCTGAAGTTTTCTTATCAAAATAAATTGTCACAAATTTCTTTATTGCTGCACTTAATAAGTCATTTCGTTCACATTACTTTTTAAAGGCTTTGAAAAAATGTGTTTAAAAAAGCTAGTTCCTTTTACACACAATGTAGTATTTTCTCACAGTTTCTTGTTCAATTTTCATTTATCAGAACAAGAGAAATGGACCCTGTTTCAGCCAGAAAATAACAATAACATTCACCAAGTTCTATTCTTAGATTTTCTTAGACTTTTGTACATTGTCCACAATACTCGAATTATACATATTTAGGTTTTTCCATTAATTTGTGGACTCGATATATACCAGGGAAGGTAAAATAAAAAAAACCACAGAGGTAACCTAACAATAAAATTTATGAGAAATGCGTTGTCCTATTTTTTAATAATCACATTTACTTTCTCGTGAATTAATATACCCTTTACAACTGTATGTGGGAATTATGTCTCACCGTTAATTAGATATGCAAGAGCATGTTTTATGTAAGAAAAATTTCTAAATCGGGGTAAGCTAATGAAGGATTAGTTATTAAGACTAGGAGATTAAGTCTTTATGTCGCAATGTGTTGTCCATACAATGACGTTTTAATTCAATACAACATATTATTGAGTCAGATGCTGACAGACGTTTTCAAAATCTATTGTTAGACCCTTATTTGCACGCTTAATCTATTTTGTTCTACACGGCGGGTGTGACTGGTTGGCGGGGGTACTCATTCGTGCATGTCACCAGATCCCACCTCCCACAGGTCCGTGAATGCTTCTCCCCTGCTTTGTATTGCTTAAATTGACATTTAACTTGCTTTTTTCTTTATCGCCATATTTAATTTATCTTGACTAAATTTCATTTGAAGAATATTTGGAGTTATATCAGTTTGTTTTATTGAACCCTGATTGTCGTTTTTTAAAGATTTACTTTAAAAATCAGATGCTCAAATTGCATTAACTATCATGGACAAAGAAGCTCCTTGATGCATTACACTGTAACTGATTCTTAGTATCAAAATGATAGTAGAGCATAGGAATTACTACTGTAATTTCCTGAATATCGCGAATGGGCGTCAAATCGCGAGAATAATTATTCGCGAATAGACAGTTGGTCAAGAGATTTTACATAGATTTCAGTACCATTAAAATAAAGGCGAGTAATTTTATTTCGCGTGTGGAAAGACAACTTTGGGTCTTATTTTATCTGTCAACATGGGAGTTTTACTCCTCCTAGACTCCCGATCTAACCGCTGGAATTTTTAGGGGTCCATGTTTATGCCCTGATTAGAGATTTGAATTGCCTGTAGATTTTTAAGAACGATGATTGAATGTTATCTTCATGCCATTAACTTATAAACCGTTCATTGAAACGTCCAAATATTCAGAATCCCTGATACATTAATAATCTAAAAATAAGACACTTAGAAGGAATTCATTACTAGATAAAAGCTCTGTCGTCTTGGTTGTACATAAAATAAATTTGCAGCACCTTCCTCTTTGATGCACAAAAGTCTTTATGTCTATCATTTTGGGAAGTAATATGATCGTGATTAACAGATAACAGTACCGCCATTATAACATGTATAATTAATAAACAGTTCAAACAAAAAAAATATTGCTTTATTCAAAACGAAATATATGTACAAAATGAAACAACATATCTCTTGTTTCAGATCGAGTTACATGTAGATATGGTATGCCAAGGTAGAGTCTGAATACATATTGTTATACGGAGTATTAAAGATAGAAAATTAAACATTAAAGAATACGAAATGCTGTGTAGCTCGACTCTGATGTGTAATCCTCAAATTCTATTGCTAGAAATGAGATTTTCTTTATTTAAGATAAAAATTAAAACACAAAGAAATCATTTCAAATCTTTTATATAAATGATAGGTACTCTCTACAATTTGATTTTTAAGCCCCTACCATAAAACACTTCTCGGAGCAAGGTCAATGAGTGTTCTAGTATTTTGACCCACCGTAAACGGATGTATAAACAAACCCAGAGGAAATACTTGAACGTATCTGAGATGGTATTCGTCCTCGGTCAAACCCCAGCCCTGTTATTGGTTACACAATATCCTCTTTAGAGTCTGTAAATATTAGCTTCCAGATAAAAAGTTGTCCTCATTTGATTTCCTACAGTAAAATACGTGACATGATTCGGGTAGTTTTTCTATACATTTTCAAGAATGTATATTTTGCATTTTTTACACAGATGGTTATATTTTTTTAAAAATAATTTAATACGTTCAAAACGAATAAATGTATTTTTAATTAAATTCGAGCATTAAGATAAAACTTCTTTTACTGAAATTAAAAATATCGATTTATAAGTACAAAT